GGAATTAGATCTGCCGTCCTACGCCAGAGACATTCAAGCAATTATACAAAAAATGGATGTGCTGCAAGAAAGGGCGTTGGAAGTAAGAGATGAAATTGTCGCTGTGGATCACAAATCCTTCAATCCTCCTATTGTTGCTGCTGCTCATTCAAGACAAGCAGCTCCAACTGCGAAGAATCCTATGGTGGGGCTGGACGATGCTTTGGTTCAAATCAGGGACAAACTCACTGGCAGCGGATCCAAGCTGGAAACCATCCCAATTGTGGGGATGGGTGGGATTGGTAAGACTACTCTCGCTCTTAATGTTTATAATAATGATTGGGTTGTTGAGCACTTTGACATTCGCGTTTGGATTACCATCTCTCAAACATACACTCTGCGGGAAATTCTCTTAGAGCTTTCAGAAAGTGGGATAGGAGAAAAAAGTGAGGAAGAGATAGGAGAATTGGTATACAAGAGATTGTTTGGGAGGAGGTACTTGATCGTATTGGATGATGTGTGGAATATTGAAGCATGGAATGTGTTAAGAAGGTTCCTTCCCGACAATGGCAATGGAAGTCGGGTTTTGTTGACCACGAGGCTGGTTGGTGTTGCAGCTGATTTCGGCTCGGACATTCCCTATGCAATGAAATTGTTAAAAAAAGACAAGAGTTGGGATATGTTGCATGATATAGTCTTCCCAGAAGAAGTTTGCCCAGTTGAATTGGAGAAAATAGGAAAGAAAATTGCCAAAGGTTGTCGAGGTCTTCCACTGGCAATAGCCGTAATTGGTGGAGTTTTGAGAAGGTCGGAAAAGACATTGGACAGCTGGGAGCAAGTTGCTGAGAATCTATATGCAATTGTAACTTGGGAAAATGAGGAACATTGCTTTAAGATATTGCGTATGAGTTACAGTTGCTTGCCGATTCGTTTGAAGCCGTGCTTCCTATACATGTCACGTTTTCGAGAGGATGAGGATATCAAAGTCTCTGAACTCATCAAGTTTTGGGTTGCGGAGGGATTTCTAAAACCCATAAACGGTAAGATTTTGGAAGACGTTGCAAGTGAGTACTTGGACCACCTTATTGATAGAAACCTTATCATAGTTCGCAAGAGAGGGGTTTCAGGTAAAGCAAAGTATTGTGGTGTCCATGATCTGGTACGAGACTTGTCGCTGAAGGAAGCCCGCAAGGAGAACTTTACCCTTGTTGAAAAGTTGTCAAGTACCTCCGCTGTGTTTTTGTGCTCGTTCCGAAATGAGGATGGTGAGCTCTTACGGGAATTGTTGTCCTCGCAAGCTTCGTATATGTTAAACAACAATTTGGTGGAGTCAATTGTGCATCTTGTGCAATTCAGGTATCTTTCCATTCCTTATTATACAGGAGGGCTCGTGGAAAAGAGTCTTATGCTACCAAAGAAAATTTCTTTGGAACCTACAAACTATAGTCATAAGTGGACGGGGTACAACATTTACTCTACCATCTATGTTTTGGACGATGACCCAACTTAGGCATATAAATATTAGTGGGAATATTGTTTTACCTGAGCCACCTCCAAAATCCCAATCTTGTTGTACTTTGGAAAACTTACAAAGTCTATTCCATGTGAAAGATTTTAGGTGTAGTGAAGAGATTTACAATAGGATTCCAAATGTAAAGAAACTTAAAATAGTCTATTTTTCACAAGATGTGGAGGAGGGGTCATACTATAGCCTTAGCAATCTTGTCCATTTGTGTAGGCTTGAGTCACTTGATCTTTCTGGAACGATGGTTTCCATTAAAGACATTTCTTTCCCACATTCTCTGAGAAAGTTGAAAATAGATAACTCTAATATTCGGTGGAGTGAGATAGTGAGCATTGGTTCATTACCCAATTTGGAAATTCTTGTAATTGGAGAGGATGGTGTTCAAGGGCTTGAGTGGAATGTAACTGAAGGGGAATTTGTTCGACTGAAAAGATTGGATGTTATTTATGTTAATTTGAAGTATTGGAAAACAGAGGAAGGTAGCTTTCCAAGCCTTGAGGAACTCAAGCTTTGGGGTATCGAATTAGAAGAATTACCTGACCCTCTCGACTTTGCTGACATTCCCAAGCTTAGATTGATCTACCTTATGGACTGTGGTGAGTCGATTGAAAGTTGGGCAAAGCAGATTAAAGAAGAACGTGAGGAATTAGGATACGGATCCATTCAATTAAGCTTTGATTGATACTAGTGTCGTTGCATTCAATTATAATTTCATTATTATTATCATGTAAGAATAGTTGGCAGGTTTGTTAATTTGATATTGGAATGATGATTGTACTTTTTCAATTTTAATCATGTATGTATGGTATTTATTCTAAATATTTTTGTTTTACTTTTACTGCACCCTTTACAACATATAGAAGAATTAAGAAAAATAAAAATAGAATCCGACCTAATGTGTGGGGATTGAACAATATATATAAGTACAACTACTTAAATGAATCGATATAGAAGGAACAATATATTGGGAGCCAAAAATAAAAGAAAGAATCAACTAGGAAAAAAATTGATGAATTATATTAGAATTTTTATTTGAATAATAATTTAGATGTAATTTTTATGGAATTAGAATATACATATTTTCAAAGAAATTTATAAAAATTAAATAATAAATAAATAAACTAATTGTAGAAGGTCAATTTTCAGGTATCTCTCATCGTCTACAAAGGAGGGGAATAAAAATTACGAATAAAAAATAGTATATTTTTAAAATTTCTAGTATTAGACTCCACAGACAAAAGTATATTAACTGTGTGTTTAGTACAGAGAATAGAATTGATTATTTTTTTTGATAAAATAGATAATTATGTTTAGAAAATATAAAAATACATATATTTTTTGAAAAAAACTAAATCGATCACTAAAAATGATAAATTGGATATGAAAAATATTATTGTATTTTTTAGTTATATTTTTAATTATTAATTTAGATCCGATATTTTATGCTATTTGAATAATATAAAAATCATAAAAATTAAATACTAGTATAGAAAATAATAAAATAAACACAAATTAAATCATAAAAAATCAATCAAAAAGATAAAAATAAATGAATACAACATACACTTTCTGAATTTCCCCGTGTGCAAGAGATAAATGAAACTAGATAATGACATCTGAATTCTATATTTCAACCAAACAAAAAAAAGATAATATTTTAATTTTTTATTCTCATTTCTATGTACTAGGACTCCTACTAACTTAATAAATAATGTTATACACTCTCACGTTTTAAAATTTATAATCTATAATTTTTAATTTTTAAAATTTTAATTAAACTATTTAGTTATTTTAACCTTAATCTATAATTATTATTATTATATTATAATTATTTTTACTAATATATTTTTTAATTTCTTACTAAACATAACTTAGACAATTTACATGGGACGAGATAGTATTTTTATTACTGTTTTCTTAAACTCGATCTTATGTTTTTCAAAATATATATATATAGATATTTTTGAAGCTTTTTTTTTTTGAATATGTCTTTATCTATTATATTTTTTAAAAAATAAATTATTGAATTGTATTATTATAAAGATGTTGAATTATCGAAGTATTATTTAGAAAAGATGAATTTTTTAAAAAGTAAATATAATATTTTGTGACATAAATAATACTACTCCCTCTGTTTCGGAACTAAGTATATATTTGTTTTTTGCACGTAGTTTTAGAAATATTAGTATTATATTGGGATATAGTAGAAATAAAGTAGAAGACTAAATATAAAGGTAATTGCATTGGTCTAATATATTTGTAAATTGATACTTTGTTATGAACAGATTAAAATGGAAAAATGGATATGAGAACGAAAGAGTATAATTTTATGAATTATTGTTATGATTGAATAGTAAATAATATAATTTTTTGGATAATAATATTTTCTCTATCCACTCAAAATCTTTTATTCTCTATAAATATTATTAAAAAAATACATATATTAACATACCATATATAATATATACATTTCATTCACTTACCAAAAAGTCAACAATTTTTTTTAAAAAAAATAATTTTGTATTATTAATACAATATGTTATATCCAATTTACGAAAATAATAATAATAATAATAATAATAAAAGGAAAAAAAAAGAAAAAATTGTGAGGATAGCAACCATACACACCCTTGCCAAGTTGCCATCCCTAATTTCTATTATAATTATACTAGGCAATTATAACAATAATTTCACGCCCACAACTATTAAATATATTTAAACTTTAATAACCTATTCATAATTTGTTTCTATTTTTCTTTTTTTTAAAATATGATTATACATTTTAAATTTTAACTGAAACTATTAACTGGAAAATCATCGGAAAATACTATAAAAAAAGAGTAAAGAGAAGAAGAGAGAACTCTTCTTGTTGGTTTATCAAATGGAGGGGTGGAAAGGGCTTTTTAATGGCATTTCCAATGGCTTACCTGCATGTATATACTTAACCACACTATTAATAACCACCGTACTATTTATATGCATTTCAATTCATCGAATAATTAATTTTGAAAATTATGAATTTAATTTAAAATTAAATTCGATCGATTAATTGATTAACCGATTTTTCAACACTGAGAGGCTGAAATAATCATATCACAGTTCGGAGCAACGGGAATGGCTCTCTCGGATTTCTGAGTGTCCGGCAATGAACATATGTAGCTTTGACTCACGCGAGGTTGTTTGTTGTCGTCAATGTTGTCTCAAATTGTTCGATCGATCACAGGACTAATGTTGTATATGTTTCTGCAGATACAGTCTCTGGCTTTTGGACAACGAGGCGAATCTATGAAACAGCCGTTCGATTTGGGAAAACTAGCTGCGGTTACTAAAAGTCGAGGATGCTATTACAATGCGTGCGAGGATAAAAACTTGTCCCCGGCAATCAGGAATGCCTTGATCGAGCTTGGACAGCTGCGATCTTCGCTTAATACAGATAGTGTACTCTTCAAAGCTTCTGTATGAAAAGTACATTGTCTCAATTCTAAGGATGGCAAAATAATATCGCGCTTGATCGATTGACACATCGTTGTAGTGTAAAAACATTCCATGTAGCGAAAGGTACATATATAATCGAACAAATTATCTACAAACGTTGTCGAAAGGTGCATTCGGTAATAACACAATGCTTTGATGTAGGATCGCAAATGTAACTTTTGAGAGAAATTACCGAGAGATCACCAAAAGATACGGAAAAATTGTGGTTCAAAAGCATAACAAGGATGGATTAAAAACTCTACCTATTTAATGAGACACAATCTTGATTTTGTTGGAAATTTGTTCGAGCAAATACTTAGATTCAGCTGCATAATCTACTGCTGCAACACTTCTAACAGTTATCCTCTGCCTCTTCTCGTTATTGTATTCGTGCGGCGTAACGCTTACCCGCAAAAGCTGAGCTCTCCACATCGCTTCTTTCAGCTTCATTTGGTAAGAACTCTCGCCGTCCTGCGAGTAAAAAAAGAAGTTTGTGAGCATTGATGGCCATCGACGAAAATGACCAAAAAATGAAACTCGTATTAGATTGTTTGTATATTGGATATGACCTGAGATCTTAGCTCGTTGAGCTCGTCTGCTGTGCATCCGATGATCTTCTCGGCTTGTTCGTTGAAGACAGAGAAGTACGCCTCGCCAGTTGCATCCGAGACTTTAACAACCATTATGTACCTGTAAATGGAGGAATTGAAAAACCAATTTGGTTAGCTTTATTTGTTTAATTTGATGTATATATATAAAGTCGGGGATTGTATGGAAATTTACAGACCTGAGGTTGCAATCTTGCTCGTTCTTCTGGCACCCTTCGCACCAATAGCCGGCATCAACAGCTTCAGTCACCTTCTTGTTGCAGGTCTTGCAGGCTCGGTACCACATCGCTTGATCGGATTTAATGTAGCTAACATACGCCTTGATGTTGAAAAACACCGGCTGAAAATGCAAAAAAAAGCGTCGTCGTAGAAAACAATCAAAGTGAGCCATCCAAAGTAAAAATGCGCCCGCAATTTCCACATTCGAGTCGATAAATATAACAGATTATACCTTGTCTTCTCCCAAAGATGGATTGCTGGTGATATCAGCTAGATTGACTCTGTCGGAGTACATAGATCGAGCTCCACCATTTGTCGAAGGGCTTAATCCGGAGCCAACAGCGTCCAAGGAAATGTTCTTACCTTCGGAGTCGTACCTGTGGTTCGATTATAACAGTAAGGATTTAATGACTGCAGAAATGGCACAGGAATGATTTATGTTCTGGGGAAATTGTTCTTACCAAGCTCTTAACTTCTTCGCCTCTTGTATGTCCGGGTTGACGGCAACAACGCTTTTACTAATCGTGGATAACGACACACCTGAATCGAGCATGTGCAAATCATTCAGCTGCCATCAATGGAAAAATCTGATCTCATTTCTTGTGGAGTAACACTTTAATTTCCTCACCTTGAAAGTCACCGACTTTAAGTGATTTGATCGCAACCACAGGGGATTTATCTGCAATGTCGAGCAGTTCTTGGCCTACGCCTGCGGCGAGGTCGTTCCACAGGGAAACCACAACAGTTTTCTTCCTGAAAATCGACAATAGCAAAAGGGTTGTTACAATGCAAACAACATAAATGATGAAAAATTTGTGAACGTACGTCTCATCAGTAATGGTAATGTCGCGCTTTGGGATAGTCTCGTTGTCGCTTTTCCTTCTAATGCTCATTGTAGGAGACACGGTCACAACTACGCCGACAACATCTGTAATAGCAAAGCATAAACATTGGCTTCGGAAAACAATACATCGACACTAGTTAAGAACATTTTTAATATACATAACGACGAATTTCTTACCAACAAGCTCCCTTCGGTTGACGAAAGGACCAAGTTCATCAATCGGGACAAACTTGAACTTCGTTTGTGGAATAAAAGTCGCCTCATTGCTGGCTTCCTCAACTTCAGAATTCTCATTTAACGTCATTTCGTAGTCATTCTGCACCGTTTTAAACTGCTTGTTCGCCACTTTCAGAGTCCCCTTCGATATGTAATAGACCTTTCCAGTCTGAAACTTGTCAAAGAATTTCCTCGCAGCCTCGTTGAACATTGTAGCCTGAATTTGTGTGCCCTAAACAACATTGCCGAAACAAAGTAATCAGAACATAAGATGTTAAAATGCTAGCAGCGTCTCACAAGAAATTAGATTTTCACTCACTTCTTCGTCCGTCAACTCTACATTGAACACACAGCCTTCACCTCTAGCATTCCTGTAAGTCCTCATATTACCTTTCCCTGTCACCCGAACCTTTATCGTCCAGTTTCCAAGGTAAGGGTTTAAAGAAACCAGTGGCTGAATCCTCCGAGTCATTGCCATTCGAGCAGCAGGAGCCAAACTATAATCAAACATACGCAAGAACCAACAAATCCCATAAATCAACATGTTCTAATGATCCAAATCCACTAATGTACACAAGATCAAGAACAATTCATATTTCTTATATGACCACAATTTTATCCTCCTCCTAGAATGGATCTTTTGGTTGTTTTTTTTTTTTAAGTTTTTACAAACTCTTTCACATGTTGATACTCAAAATTTTCGCAAGTCGCCATTATCAAGACTAGAATGAAGAAAAAGGTTAGAGTATAGAAGATTACTTTCTTTGTTGCTCATGAACTATTTGTGCAGCAGATTTGGCAACAAACTCTTGCTTTGGCTTCAGCACAATCGCTGGAACGCTCTTTAAATCTCCATCAATATCGATTTCCTGCTTTGGCTTCAATTCATCCCTAATTTCCTCAGGTTTCACCTCAGCTTTGTACTCTGCCTCCAATGGCGGACACACAGCCTCACACTTTGACACAATCAGGAACCTGTAACAAATCAGGTGCGTTTCGATCATTTCAATATATATATATATATGTGTATATATGTATGTATGCAACAAATTTATGTGCAATTCAAGAGCTTACTTCTCATTCTTCGTTGGTATATCGTTGAGAGTATAATCGAGAATACGAATGAGCCCCAAATTCTGAATGGCGCCGGAGATCACTTCAGATGACAAGGCAGATTGCAACAGAGCCTTCACCTTCATCTTCCCGTCGTTAGCCACGAACCTGAAAAAAAAAATTCCAAAAACTAATAACGAATCTGGAAAATCCAGAGCAAAATTGCCTCCAGCTAACGAAATCGATTTACACTAAAAATCATCCAAAAATTTCATCAATCGTTTCAGATCCAACGAATAAACGAATCTTAGCAACAATCGCTCTCAAGCCACCAGTAACAAACACAAACACAAACACAAATGCAGAACCAAAATCAAAGTCTCGTAAACCGAATCTTATATCAATAAGAAATAATCTAATCGAACCATAACTTACATGTATTTGGAGCCGGCGAGCTTGAGATCGAGGACTTGCACGACGATATCCGGCAGACCAGAAGAAGAGCCGGGGCATGGATTTGCAAAAATAGCGGAAATCGCATCTTCGGTAACTGCTCCGGCCATTTGTGGAAGCGAAAACACAAAACCTGGATCCAGAAACTGCAGAGAGATTGATGAAGGCACTTGAATGGGTGAATCGGGAGCTCGTTGTGTACTTCAAGAATGGCTGGGGAAGATTGATTCCGCGGTAAATATTGGAACTGCTTGCAGAATTTACGCGGGAATTTTCAGTTCGATTTTCAAGATAAATGTTTGGCGCCGGGGCTTTTTTTTTTTTTTTCTAGTGGCGCCAAATATTTTCATAATTACATATCGACCCCTTAGGTTAAGAAAATTGTAAGCTACAAGTTTTTTGGGTTTCGTTAAGTGCATCGAGTCAATTTATATTTTTTACGTTACGGTTGTAAATTGATTAAATAAATTTATTTGATTTGAAATTTTATTATTTAATATAGGCGTTGGATTCACTTTGAATATATATTAAATACAAATATTTGCTTTTAATACTTAATTTAATATCTGTAAATATATAGTAATAAAATATATTTATATATATATGGTAATTTAAAATATAGTGTATACTTATATTTTTCCAAATAATTAGATCCATGTATTTTTTTTTATCAACTTATCTTAATATTATTTTGAAGATTTTTAATACAAATTTCCGAAACTAATCAAATATAACAAAAACAATTTAGATTTTGAATATGAATGACAATGATTCGAGTGCGAGTCATGTATCAAATTTTATGTATTTTATTAAAAATATTATAATTAAATAATATTAAAGAAAACAAACTTAAAAATATATATATAATTATATTTTTAAAATTATTATTTTTTCTTATATATAAATGAAATATTATTGATATATTAATCAAGTATGGGTCCGGTACATGACTCATATATATGATTTGATATTCAAATAATTGATCCGACCTTAAATATATAATTCAGTCTCGACTTGTCTCTAATTTTGAATTGAAAATCTAATAATATTGTTAAAATTATAAATATTTAATCGAATATTTGAAAATTATTTTCATTCAAATAATTTTTTTAACACATCATTGTAGTAAGCTTCTTTTTTTTTTAAATACTACATTCATTATTTGTCCGTTCAAAAACAATAGTTTCATTTTTCATAAATAACCATTTCAACATAAAACTATTTCTACTTTTTCATTATTATTATACAATTACCTCTTTATTATATTAAGTAGGTAATACAATTACTAAATTAGAAAATTATAACTTTATTTTTGAACAGACATGAATGAAAAATAATAACATTTTCTTTAACCAAATTTTTCCAAATGGAGTCAGTATTTTTTCAAAAAAATTACACTTTTTTTTTTCACAAAATATCCCATTAATCATTATTTTAATATCAAACTCAAACTAATTTTTCTCAAACTCAACGAAAGAAACAGTCTTAACAAGTAAGAAATTTCAAGTAGGTCGGGTCATATAACAGCTCTAGCAAGTCGCCATAAATTTACTCAAAATTGCAACTACTATATCAGGCTCGGGTTCAGCGCAACCGAAAACAGCCCGATCGACTGCTTGAACTCACAGCTGACGACAAAATGAAGCAAAACTAAATAAAATTGAAGTCGATAATCATCTAAATATTGAGCTAAAACAGCAAAGGAAACAGAAGGTTCAGATAAATCCCAACAATAACAATAACAGTAGTAGGAGCGCTTCCAATTCCAAAACACGACACAGATTTAGAAAAGGGAAGTTCCTTTGCCCTTCTTGTCGCCACCGATCTCAAAATGCTTGCACCTCTGCAAACCAATAGTAAAACAGCCATTTTGATCCATGTAGTCGAGACGGGATGAGTTGAATTGATTTTGCAATGTAAAAGGGGAAAAAGGGATGACGAAACACCAACCTTGATTGGGTGCTGCGAAACATGCTTGCAAGCCTGGCATTGCAGCCTTAGCACGATCTTCTTTGTGGTCTTGGCCTAGATGTTGAAATAGAGCTTTATAGAATTTATGTAAAACAAGTGACTAGAAGTCTAGATTGTTAACATGTAGAAAATTTTTATGTAATAATAAAATAGGATAAAAATAATAACAAACACATATAGGGGTATGCTGCTGTAGAAAAACGATGATCGGGTTTGGGTCCAAACAAGAACACTATAAAGCAAGTAAAAAACTTTAGTGAAAGGACAAAATAGGATCTCCAACTTAAACCATCATTTTAAACACCTAAAATTTATACAATACAATATGTGCAACCATTATTTTCTACTGTCTCCGTCCGTCAAATTTATACCTACTTTATAGTTAAGTGTGTCGGTCAAATTTGAGCTTGTAACATAAATAGCAACCATTTTTCTATCCATTTAAATTTCAACCCTACTTTAACCACATAATAACAATTTCATCACTCTCTTTACATCAGAAGTTATCAATTAAAAACATTCCCTATTGAATTTCCCAGAGTACCCCTAGACAATTTTTACTTTTACATTAATGGTGTGTTTGCTTGGATGATTTGTTTTCTTTTCTTCTATTCACAAACATTTTCCGCTTAAAAATATCAAATCAAATACTAATTTTTTATTTTTTATATTACATTAAAAATGAAATTTTCATTCCAAACATCACATCAATTCATAGTTATATCACATCAAAAAATAACTATTTAAATTCAAAATTTTACTATTCAAATCAAAACACCCCTAAAGAAAAACACCCTAAATTACTATCACTTCTTAGTCTCCATGGCTGGCCAAACAAATTACATTTTTGCCAAACAAAAGGAGTGCTAGGAATTTATATCCAGAAACACCAAAAACATCCAAAAATACAATTAAACAAACCACAATACCTTCACTTTCTCACGTATATATAAATAATTCAAGAAGTAATCAATAATAGCTCCATTGAACTCAGCCACTTATAAACTAATCCAGACTTTAGAAGAACCTATACACTCTAAAACAAATCATTGCTTATGCATCTAGTCGGTCTTTAATACACATTATTTTAAAACAAATATGTTGATAGATATTACTTAAATCAACCAAAAATCAAACAAGCATACACACTATTTCATTCCCACAATACACTCAGGTAAAGCAAGCAAGACCGGTATTTTACCTTCTTGTGAAACACAGGTATTTTAAATCAAATGTGTTTTAAGGATATTATTGTTACTACTTAAATCAACCAAACACACACACACATAGTATTTCATATTTTCATTGCAACAATACATTCATATAACGCAAACAAGACTGGTGTTTTACCTTCTTGTGAAACACGGGTTTGGTCTGGCCACCATATCCCGACTGCTTGCGATCATAACGACGCTTCCCCTGGGCAGCCAAGCTGTCCTTTCCCTTCTTATATTGGGTGACTTTGTGTAAGGTGTGCTTTTTGCACTCCTTAGATTTGCAGTATGTCTTCTTTGTCTTCGGAACGTTCACCTACAAATATTAAAGCAGTATAAATATATCAAAATCAATCATCACAAAATTGGGAATTATCACACACATCATTCATCTCAACAAATATTTAATATTCCTTTATCAGTATCATCAATAAGCAAACTAATGCATTAACTATTCCAAAAGTTCGAAAAACATTAACGGCTTATAAATTAAACACTCCAATCGGCAAATCATCATATCCAGTAAACCTGATTCATCATCATCCACTCGAGCATAAAAATTCCTAAATTCAAGATGAGCTCCAATCGCTCATAAAAGCTGATAAATCAACAACTTCGGTCAATGAACGCGTTTGAAAGCGATTTTCCTTATCCTCCGAAAATCATCGCTACCACGACACATTCATGCCAACATTCTCCAACACTTGTATAACCAATTTATCGGAAGCCGGCATACAAACACTAATCAGTCCAACTAAATTCCACCGATCCGATTCATTAATCCAGTCCAGATGAATAAACACATAATCTACCAATTCATACAGAATAAACGCACAAAAATGAGCAAATACTGAATTCGAATGCAAATCAAACGAGCCATTACCATGGTCGACGGCGGATAGGAGCACTTGATCTGCGATTCTGAGTTTTCCTTCCAAAACCCTAATTTGCGACGCTGTGCAGATTTATAGGATAAATATTGCTTAATGGGCCTCCACATTTGTTTAAGCCCAACCCTAATTTGCCCTATATTTGTTTTCTATTAATTTTTTATTTAGATAAGAATTTTAATAGTATAATATATAAAATAAAATAATATTAATCCAAAAATAAATATACACGTGTAAAATGACCAACACTATTAATAATATTATTTAGGATTGATGTATTTGTGTATATATTTTCCTTGTCTCTAATAATACGTCGCAATTACTATATATACGAAAATCTAAAAAGAGAATAATTAAAAATAATTAATTATAATATAATAAAAATAAATTAAAATTAAGATAATTTATTAATATAATAAAAATTTAAATATATAAATTATAAAATTTAAAATATAATTAAAATACAAAACAAACAGAAATATAAAATATAATACTTCCTCCGTCCACGTCTTACTTTTCTATTTGAGATGTCTAACAACTATTGTCCTATTTCCTTTTTTTTTAAACACAAATTTTACATTTTTATTCTTCGTTCATTTATTATTTTTAATATATATCATTCAATTAAGGGTAAATTTGTCAATTCATAATAAAAAGACAATCACCTAAAAAACCGTGCAAATATATTTTAGGACAATAGAAATTGGACGGATGAGTATAATGTGTGAGATTTATGAAATTATTGTCCTATGTAAGAGGAACAAACAAATTTTTCTTACTTAGCTCATTTTCAACCCATCAATTTCGTTTATACAATTTTAATTCCAGAGTATTTTTAGTCAACTCACAACTTTATTTTTTATTTCAATATTCTTCAAATATTCTATTTTATATACTATTATTTTAAACTATTTTTTTATATTTATAATTAATATTATATCTTTTAAAAAAATATAAAAAATAAAGAATTAATAAGCAAATCAAACATTTGAATACTAATTCATATTTTTTTTTAACGATTTTGTATTTGTTTCGATTTTTCATTGATCACAATGGTTCAGACATACTTTCTTTTAAAGAAAACAATGCACTCCCTTCATTTATGAAAATGATGTAGATATGTCCGGACACAAAAATTATGAAATCATATTTTTTTCGTTTGAATCATATGTAATATTTTCCTCCGTTATTCAAATTTATGTTCATTTTCCTTTTTAGATTGTCATTGAAAAATATTCTCATTATTTTTTTAAGTAAAAATTATTACATTTTTGTATATTTTTTTACTAAAAAGAAAAAAATAACAATTATTACTTATTTTTATTAAAACCGTGTCCGATCAAATAAACACACATTTGCATGACGGAAAAGACTACTAAAAATAATACAAAGTATGTAATAATATATAAAGATATACTATTTGATAAGATGAACAAGTATTTTATATTCCCATCTATGAGATATATACTCATTTGAGTGGAACCAAGTATTTTAATAAATATAATATTTTATTAGTTCATTATAATATAAATTAAAAATATTTTGAAAAATAAATGACATAATGAAATGATTTTTTTATATATAAAATAAATCCGTATATATTTATAAATAAATATAATATTAAAAATACATGAGACAAATCTAAGGATGAAAATGGTCCGGGAATATTCAATATTCGACTCCAATCCGACTTATTTATTTGGAGTTGAGTTTAATTATTATGGTATGAAATCCGGGGCTGGGTTGGATATAGTGTGCTCCAAAGATAGACTCTGTCTGAACCCAAATATGATTAATATATATTAATAATATAAATTATATTAAAAAAATATTTTTAGTTTAATTTTTAATTTTTAATTTTTATAATATTTTGAACAAAATACATAAATTTTAAAATATATATATCGGTCGGAGTTCGGATGTAATTTTCAGTTAAATTTAAGAATAGTAAAAAACAATCAGGTCTATCAAATCTTGTCAAATATTGTTCGAATTGGTTACGGATATGATCTGATCCGGATATAATCAGATCTAATTCACGTCTTAAATCAACAATGAGTATTCGGATCGGATCTCGGATTCCACTAAAATCAACAATGAGTATTCAGATTAGGTCTCGGATCCGGCTGGACGCGACCCGACCATCCCTAAGTCCATTTCCAACTCATCAACCATATTTATCCAATTTTAATTTTAAATATGCAGTTGTTAAGGTAATCTTACTTCAACTATAATTCTATTTTTCACTATTATTCTTCAAATATTCAATTTTTTTTCTATTATTTCAAATAATTTTTTATTTTTATAATTTAAAAAATATATATATTTTTAAATCCAGATAAATAAAGAACAAAATTTAAAAGTTAAAATTAAATTTTTAATTTTATTTTTTTGTTAAAAAAAAAAAAACTGATCATTGTGCAACACCAAAATTGATCGTTAATAACGCTTAAAAATGGCGGGCGACAGCATCGATGACTCTGGGTTGGAGATGGGGAGAGACAATCAAACAAGCTACCAAAGGAAGAAGAAGGATTCAAAAATCAGTTCAAGGAATGGGGTCATATTATTATCACAGTGAACGTACAGTGTTCCACAGCCATCGCTGTCTGTGTCTCAATCTTCTACTGTCACTTTCCTTGTCCCCGCTCTGCTTCTCCTCATTTGACGAACCCTTCTTCCATGAAACCGCGTTTCTTCGTCTTCTTCAACGCACGCCCCCAGACTTTATTTGCTCTAATTCCACTTCCGTACATTACTGCACTGCCCTCCAGGTTAATTTCATTTCAATTCTTATCATCGGATCACCCACAAATTATTTTTCATACTGCAGTTCCAGTTTTCGTTGCTTTTCATATCGTCTCTTCATCTGTGGTCTTAATTCGATTTTCAAATTTGCATCTCGTTTTGCGGATGAGGAGTCTGTTTTGTTGCTTGATTTGAGATGAAGAGGGTTCAGTGAGGAATTCTAGGGTTTTGAGAAATCAATTCATTTTTCCCCCAAATTATTTCGTGATTACGAGTTTGTAAGAAGAGGGATATAATTAGGGCTGTTTGATTTGATTTGATTTGATTTGTTTGTCGCGACGATTTTTGGAACCAACAGTGGCCGCCGGCGCCGGCGCCATGGACGGCGAGGAGCACGTGATCGCCGCCGCGTACCATCTTCTCATGGCGGTCGAAGCCACCAACAACTTCTCCGACGACGTACGGAAGCTCGTGTCGGATTTGAACACTCGTCTCTCGCAACTGGTGAACCTCAGCGCCGCCGAGGTTCGGAATCTCCGGGAGATCGAATCTCGGATCGCCGCCGCCCAGGAGACAATCCTGGCCGTCCATTCCGCCCATCCCAGGATCTGGGAATCCTACCCCCTCACCGCCTCTCAGTACCTCCACGCCGTTGATGAGATCGGACGGTCAATATCGATCCTCGAAACGACGCCGTTGAGCAGAGGCAGCCGCAGCAAGGAGCTCTTCGACGGCGCTCAGACAGTCCTCCAGGCTGCAATGGCGCGGCTGCAGGACGAGGTTGTCCACATCCTCGTAGAGAACAAGCGTTGCTTCGGCCACGGCGGCGGCGGAGTGCCGCCGCGCGCCGAATCCTTTATCTCAAACGACGACAACGAGAGCAGCAGCACCGACGCCGATGAAGACGCGAACGTAACTTTGATCCATCCCGACGTCGTGCCGAAGATCAAATCGATCGCCGACACGATGTTCCGGTCGGGCTACGGCCGCGAGTTCTGCCGAGTGTTCACGTCGTTTTGGCAGGAGACGTTATCCGAGTATCTAACGGCGCTCAACGTCGAGCAAGTTAGCGTCGAGGACGTTGTCCGAATGGAGTGGAAGCGTCTCAATGTGAGGATTAAGTTATGGCGCACCGCGATCAAGAAGATCGTGGCCGTCTATCTCGTCAGCACGAAACACCTCTTCGATCAGATCCTAGCTGAACACAAACACGAGCACGAGTACCATAGCAATGCAAGTTTAAGCGCTTTGACAGAGGCGTCAAAGGCTCCATTTCGGAGCTTATTGAATTTCGGCGAGGCCGTCGTCGTCGGGCCCCACCGGCCAGAACACCTCTTTTGCTTGCTCGACATGTATGAGGCGTTGGCGACGGTTGCGCCGGATGTCGACGCGTTATTTCCCGAAGATACGGGATCGTTCTCGAGAGTCGAATTCCACGAGCTTTTGATCAAGCTCAGAGACGCTGCCTTCGTCGTTTTCGAGGATTTCGGGAACCACATAGCGTCACCGTTGTTGCCGAAGCCTTACAAGAACGGCGGGATTCATCCCCTAACGAAGTACGTTATGAACTACATAATACACATCGGCGAATACGACGAAATCCTTAACTCCCTCCTCCGACCTCCGAATTCCGAGGGCTTATCGAACGATTTCGGGGCTCGTCTCCGATCGTTCGTGTCGACCCTCGAGTCGAATTTACACAAAAAAAGCAACTCCTACAAAGAGGGTCCTTTGAAGCATATCTTCTTGATGAACAACATACACTACATAGTTCACAAGATCAAGAACTCGAAAACTCACCCGTATTTCGGCGATGTATTTATCAGACAACGCACAGTGGCGTACCGTCAACACGCGAAGTTGTACAAACAACAAACTTGGTGTTCGATCGTTGATCTGTTCTCGGAGGCCAATAAAGTCGGGAAGGCAATGCTAAAGCAACGGTGCCTCGCATTCGCAGCGGCGTTCGAAGACGTATACAAGAATCAAACGAGATGGTGTGTCCCCGACGGGGAACTTCGCAATGAGCTTACGATCTTGGTATCGAAGGATCTTATCCTCGGATATCGCAACTTTGTTAAGGTTGTCAACGATACCATTGGTGAAAAACATGTCAAATTTTCCGAGAATGACGTGGCTATGTACATCTTGGATTTGTTCGAGGGTACGCCGAAGTCGATAAACCATCCGCGAAAGAAGTGATCGATCGTCGTCGACTATAGGTTGCTTTCTCGTAGTTTTTAAGGGTCGCTTTGTTAGCTTTTTTAACGTTTTTAAGATTTGTTACCCCAGTTCAATATCATAGTAAAAAATGTAACAAAAACATTCTAACATATGTGTATATGTAATTTTACTTAATCGAAATTCTTTACATGTACAAATTTCTTTTATAATTTGATTTTAATTTTTGTAATAGAATGTATTAATTTTTTTTTTATAAAATATGATATTTAAATTTTGTTAATAAAAATAATATTAATACCTAACTTTGGTTGCAGTTAATAGTGTTATAATATTACTTATCTATTAGTAAATATATTCTAAAATATCAAATCAAATATGTATTATATTGTATAATATTTAATTTTATATTCAAATCAATATATATTTATATTATATCAGACAATTATTTTAATTTAAAATTTATTATTTAAAATTCATAATCATAATATACAGAGAGAGAATAACATTTTGTAAAAAAATAAAAAATAAATATTTAAAGTAATTTTTATTTATTGAAAAAAAATTATTAGATAAATTTTTTCAGTATTATTTGTTTGGGACTTAAGTTTGAATTTTGAATTATTTTTTTAAAAATAAATTGTATTGAAATAATTATTTGATTTAATATAAATAAATATTGATATCATAATTTGAATGTAAAATTAATTTTTATTATAATATAAAAAAATTTAAAAAACAAATATTTAAATTAATGTGTTTGTAAGAATAAATGTTTTATGAATAATAGACCATTCTAATTAAAATCCTCCAAACTAACCAACTTGGGAAGAACACACTTTATAAATTTGGTTGTGATTTCAAACTAAAATAACAAAGTTTGCTCTCCATCGTTCTAATAAAAATATACTCCGTGTCATTTAAATTTATTTGTTTATTTTTGTTATCATTCAAACTTATTTTCGTTTCGTTTTTTAGTAAAAAATATTATATTTTTACTTTTTCATTATCAAAAAATAAATAAATTCTATTTTTACTCAATTTTGCTAAAATTCGTGTCCGGTCAAATAAGCATAATTTTACATGACGGATGAAGTATAATTTTTTCCTTAGTAAAACATCATGTCAAAATAATATTTAAATAAAATTTTTAATCAATTTCAAATTACAACTAAACAAAACACCCCCAATTTTTTTTTTTTTTTTTTTTTTTTATAATATACTATAATGTTCAAATTCATTATTTAAACCAAATACTAACACACACAAAGTGTGCGTTTGTTTGGGGGTTTGGATTTTTATTTGGGATTTGAATAATAAAAATTTTGAATTTGAATAGTTGTATGATGTGATATAAATAGGCGTTGATGTAATATTTTGAACGTAATATAATATAAAAAATAAAAAATAGGTGTTTGAATTGATGTTTTTGGGAGAAAAAAATTGGATGAATAGTGGATTTAAAATCCAATCCCCAAACAAACACACCCAAAGTAAACATATATATTTAAATAAAAAAAAGAATGATTTTAAAGCATGAATGTATTCACCACTTACACTTATTATTAAAAATAAAATAATATAACCCCGACGCCTCAGGTCACCTGCCATACATGGTTCACCTATTGTGATTTTTCTGTTGGGCCTGGTTTACAAAGTATTAGGTTCGTCCGGGAGTTTACCCAGTGCGCACTTTCGGGTAGCGACTGCGGGTTTCCACGTCATAAAAAAATAAAAAATAATCTAAAAGCAGAAATTGCATTAGTTAAAGTGGAAATGGTGGTGAAGAGTAGAAGCAAGAAATAGTCCATAGTCCAAAGCACGACTTGTTAGTTAGTCAATAATTATTTGGACATCTCATTGTCATACAAAGCCCCACTTTGAAAAACCATTTATTGCTATGAATTACGGTCTCCGTCCCATGTAATTTCAGTGTGTTATTTTATATATGGAAATTTAAATAAAATATAATTAGTAAATAATTTAAAAATATATTAATAAAAATAATTATAAATTAAAATAAATAACTAAATAGTTTAATTAAGATTAAAAAAATTATAAACTATAAAATTTAAAATGAGATTAAAATGTATAATTATATTTTCAAAAGATGTAAGGACAAGTTATCGTGGCACGACAAATTATGTGGAACAGAAGGGAGTATTTATTTAATTACTCAAGACTTTAATTTCATTTTTAAAAAAAATTATCAAGACTGTATTATACTTTCTCTGTCCGCCTCGGAGGGTCGCATTTATCCACTGTACTTAACATTAAAATTATCCTTATATTTGTATAATGTTTTTTACAAATATCATTATATTAATATTATAAGACACTAATATAGAAGTATTTTTGTAATTTTTCTTAATTTTGTACTATGTTTTGATATAATAATTAATATTTAAATATAACATATGAGACTTTTAAAGCTGGAAAGAGATAGTATTATTTTACCATTTATTTTTTTAAAAAGAAATTTGTAATGCATGATTTTCACGTTTCCAAGGTAATATACATTATTCCTAATGCACACATAAATTATGAATCATACAGTTCTGTTTTGTTTTTTCTTTTCTTGATTTTTAATTTTTTTACTAAAAAATATTGTATTTTATTTTCGATTGTTTCTAATAATACTTACTTCATCTAAAAAATGAAATTAAAAAGAACAAAATATGCAAAAATAACGTACCACATATCTAACACCAATTTTCATTCCGAATATAAAAAAGTAGAAATTAATTTACACAATATTTTAAAATACTTTTAAAAAAATAAATCAAAATAGACTATTATAATTTTTTATAAAATTAATTTATATTGATTATATATATAAATATACTATTATTTATAGAATAACATTCATATTAAATGTAATTTATTGAATTATAGGGTTGTTTAGTTTTAATTTGAGATTAAATTTTTTATCTTAATTTTAATTTAATTAGTATTTTCACATGATATTTTATGTAAAAAAATTATTAAAAAAAAATGAATTGAATATTAATATTATTTTTTCTTGAAAAAAACGTCATAGTTTTTAAACTATTCAACTCGAAAACATAAAGGTATTTACTTGCAAAAGTCAGCATTTGATTTTGATACATATAAATATTTCAATAATAGTTTATACTCTTTCCGTCCCATATAACTTGTCCTAAATATGATTATCCATTTTAATCACATTTTAAGTTTTAACTTTCATAATTTTTTTAATCTTAATTAAACTATTTACTTATTTTAATATTAATCTATAATTACTTTTACTAAATAACAATTATTTCACTAATACATTTCTTATATTGTTGTCCTTTCTGTCCGTTCTATATTCCATGTTATTTTCATTTTTTGAAAAATAATTACACACTTTAATCTTATTTTAAACTTTTTAATTTATTTTTTTTTTAATTTTAATTAAATTAATTAATTATTTTAATTTATAATTATTGAGACGGAAGGAGTAGTAAACTAGTACTCTACTGAGTATTTCTTTTCACAAAATATTTAAAACATTAATGTGATAGCATTCTTCTTCAAAACCAAGGATTTTTTTTTTTTTTTTTTTTTTTTTTTTTTTTTTTTTAACCCAAAAATCCAGTTATTCATCCAATTTCAAATAAAAATATACTCCCTTCGTCCAGCTAAAAAGTATACATATTTCTATTTTGGGACGTCCAATTACAAAGTAAACATTTCATTAAATACCTTACTTTTTTTCACAAATACCCCTACTTTATATCACATCATTACTTTTACACCAAAAGGCAAGGGCAAAAATGTCATTACACTACTTTTAACTACCCACTATAATTAAAATACTATTATTTCTTAAACACCGCGCCAAAAATAATTGTATACTTTTTTTTGTGGACGGAGGGAGTATTTGTTTCTCTCAACATAATATCTAAATATTATCAAACATAAATGCATATAATACACAAATGTATTATCATCTATCTAATAGTACCATTTGACGTGCTCAAGTTAAATGGCAAATTCATCACTTACAACAATAACATATCCTTCAGAAAATGCAGTCCACTGTTCTTCTTCTTTGCACCTTTACGAACCATTCTTCTGCTTGGGTTGCTCCCTCTTCAAGATCCAGGGTAGTTGCATTTCACCGCTTTTCGATTACTTCAACAACCATTTGAGCAACAACTAAGACCGATAGTGTGATGTGGCCTCATAATCGTAAAATTATGAGTTCAAACTTTTAGCGCCTCTAGATCTTGTCTACCACACATGATTCGTCTAATATGACTTATCTTATCAGACCTAGTTTTCAAACTATAGTAATTTATCTTGTCGAATCTAGTTTGCAAACTATTAAGTTCGGCCGAAGATTTACCTAGAGTGTACTCGTGAATGCCAAATTAATATTATATACCAACATTACATGGTAATACTACTCAAATCAAAATAAAATAAAATAAAATAAAAATTCAATTTCAAATCAAAACAGAACAAACCCTGCATATTTCTCCAACTACATATATATGTATATTTCTGAATTTTGATACTATTCATTTTGATATGTCCTATAACAATATCAATTTTTTTTTCTGATATTTGTACTATCTACCTAACAATAAAAATACCTTTAAAATTTATCATATATTACACAAATACCATTATCTTTATATCATATTATACTTATTTTTATCATTTTCTCGTACTTACATATCAATATCATATTAATATTAAAAAATTGAAGTGCAAAAAGTAACCGGATACTTTAAGGAACGGAGGGAGTATATTTTTATATCACAAAACATCACAGTACGATTTCCAAAATTTTTCAAAACTACAAAATCTATATCTAAATGTCATTTAAGAGAGCTTTACCAGGAAGCATGAAAGAACTACCCTATAGAAGTAATGCTCGAACCTACTTTATATACATGATTGAAGAACCGTTCAACTCAGCACAACTGATTAAGAAATGTTACGGAACTTTGCCTTATCACCTAATATAGGATCTCACAAAACAGAAATTATTAGATGATCTTACCTACAGGCTTCCTAACATTTGTAGTCATCACATGAAACTCTTCCATCTTGGCTCCGACATCACTTGATGAGAAATAAGCCAAACCTATGAAAAGAAGACAATGGCTTTAGAGTGGAACTTAATCATATATATACACATAATCATTAAGATATTACACGTACTTGAGAGGAACTCATACTCTCCAAAAAGTCTCGAATGACCAGATGCAACAATTTCCCACCAATGAGCTCTCTTGATGTTACAGCTTCTACTCAATGTATCATGTCAGCCAAACTATTCTGCTATCCCACCAGGACTTGAGCATACTGATGAACTTGTTTGAGCATGGTATTGGTACCTTGTACCATGGGGTTGATATGTGTAGTAATTACCAAGTCTTACTGAAATGCTATATAGGAGCACCGGAGAAGAGTGTCTAAAAAGCTTTTCTCAGTTACGAGAAGATAGAGCAAAGCCTTGAACTTCTCCAATAGTACGAATGGCTATCTGTGGAGCATGGAAAAGCAGGACATATCGAAGAGACATTTACTTTTATCCAGCCAGATAAAAGTGTATGAAGTCCATCCAGTGTCCAGCAGACGGCAAATAAATCTTGTGATGCACTGCTTATCACAAAGGTAAAAAAAATGAAGTAAATAAAATTGTAAGCCGCACTAGTTAAATAAACTTACTGAAAAGAAATTACATAGTCCTGGAAATATGAATCCTGAAGACAATCTAGTAACGAACATGCATATATTTGTGATACTGCTGATGAATCAAATCAATTTATGAAGTCTTGAACTCAATTAAATCAAATTTATTAAAGGATGCAGAGGGATAGCATATTATTGTGAGATGATCACTATCTAAAAATTTTATAAAGCACATTATATATATGCTACAGATGAAATTGATTTCATTGTGTAATAAATTAATTTCTATCTTCTATTTAATATGGGGATAACAAATATGCATATATTAGTGATACTACTGATGAATCAAATCAATTCACGGATAAATCTTGAACTCAAACAAATCAAATTTATTAAGGCTACAGAGCATAATAATTAATCTCAGATAGTGGAGAACACCACCCAACCCAAAAAACACTGTATAACAGGATAGCATATTGCAAGATGATCGCTATCTAAATATTTTATAAAGCACAACATATATATATATATATATATGCTACAGAGCACAATAATTAACCTCAGATAGTGGAGAACAACACCCAACCCAACAAAGATGGTATAACAGGATCGCATATTGCAAGATGATCGCTATCTAAAAATTTTATAAAGAATTGCAATCATTAGTGTCCGAGAAATACTTTGAATCAACTACATAATCAACTCAAATAAAACACTACAAAAAGACTTAGATTGAACAAAAGGTACAATCATCGGTAGTTCACATATGATTTTGCATAATACTCTAGCTACTTGAGCAGATAGATAATCAAATTTAGCATAGCAGTGGAGAGCAGGCAATGACCATTTCAAGTTGGAGGGCAAAATAAGAGAAGAAAGACAAAAGGCTGCAGAGATTCATATAAGGTTTTATGGAACAAAAAATAAGAAGAAACTGAATGAAGACAGAGAGCGTTGTTTAAGCTGCAGGAAGATGAAAAAACGAGCACAGTTAAGAATGACTGAGAGACATTTGTTTAGGCTGTTGGAAAATGAGTAGAGAGAAGAAAAACAAAAATAACAGAAGAATACAGAAGCAATCACACAAAAGGATGGTTAAATAATTTTAATTTATAGAATAAAACTACCACTTAACCTCTAGACAAGGTAAAAGTTGGAGCAGGAATTGGGAGATGCTTCAGTGCACAGGGGGAACATCGGACTCATAAATAAAAAAACCAACATAGTATTATATGATTTGGTTAAATAACCGGATAAAATATTCCAATACAATGCAGCAAGCATAATAAATTCCATAGAATATCATAATCGTGGAAGTATGTACTCCCTCCGTCCCACCTCACTTACCATTTAGGATTATCCCACCTAAATAGCTCATTTCCATTTATAGTCTATGTGGTCCCTACCAAATTATCAATTTACCTTTACTCTTACCTCTATTTACCACAATACCATCACACACTATACAAAAAGCCAAGGGTATTATAAACATTAAATAAGAAAACAGATACCTTACAATAGTGGCTCGCTACAGATGCATATACAAAAGCAACATATTTCCCAACGCTTGTACATTTGAACAGTATGGGTCAATTCAACCTTTTCTCATGCAACTTAATAGAGGATGGTGAAAATATTCCTTTCCCGAAAAGGAACATTTTGTAGCTGTCCTCTATTAAGAGGATTAATACAGTAATGCACCATAAAGGCTCTCATGTCGTTATTAAAAAAAAAAAAGGTGTACTCAATACAAGGTGCTTACTCATACTTCAAACTAAAAATTTCAAACCGCAAAAGTCAGCAACACTAAGGAAAAAATAAATAAAGGCATTTTAAGAAAAATGGTTAAATTCAAATGTCAAGAGCATACCTCTGAGAGCTCAAACTAACAAGTTTTGATTTTCTTCTCCCGACTTTAACAAGTGTTAGCCACGTGTCATCTCCGGAAGTAACTGTCAATATAAAACATAAATGCTCAAATAAAATAAAGCAAATAACAAGCATAGATCAATATCCATATTAACTGATTTCAAAAAGATATGCACAATCCCAAAGCACTCAAATTACAAACGGTCAATAGTCATTTAATGAGACAATTTTCAAACAATTGTTTCCTGTTTTGCATATGGAGAGCAACACGCAATAGATTACATGTCCCAAAACACGAATCTAATTGATGATGCATGCATAGCATCTGGTCGTATATATTCAGTCATAAGCCCAAAAATTCAGAGTATTGGATAAGATGGACCGGTAAAGACGTTTAATCTTGGTGGGGAAAATAAATAAAAAATAAAAGTTAACATGCCAAATACAAAACAACCCCGATATGCAGACTCCCACCAAGGTGCCAACACAGGCAGTATTCCAATAAAAGATAAAAACTGAGAAAAAAAAAAGACAGCTATTTATTAAAAAACACAATAAAAGAGAATCCAGATTGGGAAAGAAAATTGTCAAAAACTTATAATCCTAGCCATAAAGATTTGGCATTTACAAGCCTTAAAATAAAAAAAAAAAAAAAGAGAAAAAAGAAAACAAAACGGCGAGATGCCAATTTATCATTTCTACATTCAAATGATGAGTAGTGAGTCTTGGTGAAAGGCACAAAAACCTTAAAACTTATGAGTTATGGCTTTTATAAAGATTTGGCATTTCTCATGTTTTTTTCTTGGCATTAAAATAACTAAACTGAACAATTAAACACAATTTATGCACTGGTATAGAACAGGGGGCAGTGGAAGTGAAATGTAATTAGTTGATAATATATCATCCAAACAAGCGAAGCAAAACTTAATATATCCAAAAAGAAAAGTGATACATATGAGGTTAACTGAAAACAAATGGGACCTAGCTCAACAGGAAAGCATTACGTACAAGTTTTGCAACTCCCTCTACTTTGCTAAATTTACATAGATGTATCACCAGTGCAAAGCTTCTCGGTAGGCATCACTCAAAGACAAAACACTTGGAAACTTAAGAGCATCAAAGTCAAGGCTGACAGCAGATCCGTCACCTAAATTGGGTTTCACACCTTGACATACTTATCAACATACCCCTGCATTCAGAGTATTAAGTGAATTATATCGCATGAAGAGCAAAGAATTCAAGTGATTAGGATTAAAAATAATAATAATAAAATAAAATAAGCAAAACATTACATGCATAGATACACTGATATTTTATGCAGCAATATTTCTAGAAAAGTGTTCAATTATATTCTATGTAACTGCAAACAGATAGATGGGCCCAAATATCAAAATTTAATTATTAATATGCATTACCATAACTAGCTTGGTTAACTTTCCCCGTGAAGAATCAATGTAGTGATTTATTCTTGTCTGGGATCTAGGTATGCGGTGACTCTTCATTGCTCCCGAAACTTTATCAACAGTTTTTTTGACAATGGTTTTAAATGCTTCCTTGCTCATATTACCCTGGCGCCATGATGGCTTTAGCACCTCTTTCACAAAAGCAGCAATGGAAATCTTAAACAGTTTCATAGATTTCTCATGGCTCTTTTTCTTTTTACCAGATTTCTTAACCTGATCCATCTCAATTTCTCCAGCATTCATATCAGGTGCCTCATTCGGATAACAAGGACTTCCACTCAACACTGCACCTACCCCAGCATCAGCTGTCTCACCAAACTCTTCATTTTCAACAGAATCACTAAGAGAGACAGCTAATCCTTTTTCCTGATTGATGGCCTCAGTGTTTAACATCCTTCCAGATCCACCAAGTTTAAGCACATCATCAGAATCGCCAACAATTTCGCGATTTAGTTGATCAACTCTAGTAAAGGAATTTGAAGCTGGGTCGATGCTATCAAAGAGAGGATCATACTGATTGCCACCAAGCCTTGGTATTACATTTACAGCTGGCAACCCACAATTTGATGACACCATATTGGTGCTTCCAATCTTGTGCCCATCACCAGAAGCTGAAGCCAACACAAATGAGGCGCCATATCCAACATGTTTGTTTAAATCATTTTCCTGGGTCAAAGCATTAGAACCAAGTTTAAAGCCCAGTGGTTGACTGAAAGTGGGCGCATATGGACTGAAATTGTTTGAAGTTCGGGATCCAACAATCTCATGCACATAACTAGGTAGAGTGTTCTGAGGAAAGCCTGGGGTTACATTTGATAAGGAAGAACTTGTGTTCCCAGTTTCAGTCAACTGTGCAGTGATAGTAGTACCAACAGAATATTGTGGACCATGAGAAACCTGCTGGATGTAAGGTCGACTACCGTCTGACAGAGGATTTCCAACACCAGAACCCTGCATTCCCCTCAGCAGAGACTGAATTGGCAAGGAAAAATGTGATTGAGCCTCAGAAAATGATCGAGAATGATTCCGCTCCTGAACTTCATACCCTGTCAAGCATTCTTCTCCTCTTACATGAGAAGCACCCAAACGACTACTTAGAGCTGACTCAAAAATATTGCTGATATGTGGCCTCTGACCAGGCTCCCCCATTGTAGAGTACAACTGAAACTGACCAGTCAAAGATCGGTTAGGATATTCAATTGGCAGACTTTCCTTGTAGGCATTAGAAGATAAACCCTCATGTGAAGGCAGCAGCAAGTGTTGCATATGCTGTGAAGGTAGAGTGTATTCTTGAGCATTTAAATTAGTAGATATACGACTCTGAGATGGAGGTGGTGGTAGAACAAATGAGCTTGACAAAGAGTTTGAGAGTCCAGGAAAAGGCATATTCTGGTAACTCACAGGGGCTTGATAAGGTGAATAATTTGCTGGAGCTGAATGATACTGGGATACTGAGGGCATCTTGTTATAATCTTGCATTGCTGACTGAGTGAAAGGCAGAGTCACCACCTGAGAGACTGAAGGTAAAGGAAGGCCTGACTGGGATAGATGAGTAGCACCTGAAGGGAGCAGCTCCTCCAAAGGCCGAGAAGGAACCTCTTGAGAGAAATAGGGCTTTGAAACAGGATTTCCAAGTGAACTCACAGCAGGAGGGGCCTCCTTTACATCGAGCTGATCAGCAGGAACACTGGCTGGTGCGGTTAATGGTGCTTCCATGACAGGAGTATTAGAGAATAAAGCATCGGTACTTCGTTGGTCTGGCTGATTAATGATTTGATGGATCTTATCAGGTCCCTCAGGTTCTGGAGTCAAAGAATCTTCTTTCCTTGAGGTTACATTATGAGCAGAATTGCGTGAAAGGTTGCTGCCTAAAACATCAGAAGCTAGAAGGGAAGAATCTTTTTCATCTTTTTCAAGTGTGTGGGTAGAAGAATCAACTGGCAGATCATCTGAATCATTTACTTCTTTCAGATCAAATGTTTCTAGAGGAAGTCTGGTACCCATATGTTTTTCTCTTTCAGGGATAGCATTACTCTCTTCACGATAGTCAGGATTCCGTAATTCATGTGGCTTATCCCGATACTGTTTTCCTCTACTGTATCTCTTTTTCTCACTCTTCTCAGGATCATGGTGTGAATAACGGCAAGTAGTTCCACGGTAACATTTGCCTCGGAGAAAGGCAAAGCATACAGGAGGCTGACCCCGTTCCTGTCTCGGTTTATCACCTGTGGACTCAATGCCACGCTGCACAATAGGAGACCTACTCCTACTTCTCATTGGAGACCAACTGAAAGAAGTAAATAATGTCAGATCTCACCATCCAAAATTAAACAGGAACAGAATACCACGAAATATTAAACAGATGTCTGATCCAAACCTGCGAGATCGACCACGCCTCTCTTTCCTCCACGGACTTCTTCTCCTCCGCCGGCCACGAGGAGATGGACTTCTACTTTGACTTCTACTCCTTTTTCTAGCTCTTCTTCCTTGCTTCCGTGCATAACGTGGTGAATCACTTGTGTCACTGTCACTAACACCTTCTCTAATCAACCTACCAAACTCATCTACATTCAATTTAGTAACATCACTCTTGATATCTGACGGGCACATTTTGGCATCCTCACAACCAATATCAGTGTCATAATGTCTTGAAGAATCTTTATGTTGATCACACTCAAATTCTTGGCGTCTACTACTTCTGCCAGAAATTTCCTTGACTTCCCGTGTCCCTATAGATATGCTATCTGCTTCCATCATGCTTGGTGATTCATTCACAGAATTCACAAGTATATTTTTACTGGCCTCTGAGACACTCTGCCTGTGGAGCTCTGAACCAAATTTACACACCTTCCCAGTATCAAGATTCGTATGTCCATCCTTGTTGGATTGAGAACTACCATCACCAGGAACATTTGCACCCTCATTTTCAGAACTATCATCAGAAGCATAGTCCTGTAAAAGACTGAATGGATCGGTGCCTTCATTTACCGGACCAGAAAGATTACTATTACCAATTGCTTCAGTAACTATAGGTACAGATGGTGTGTTGAAATTTTCATGTTGGAAAGATAAGTCATCCAGGCGCTGTTCAGCTTGTTCATTTCTTTCCTTTCCTGATTCATCAGCCATAAGACATGCCAGAGTACCAAGTGTGTCAAAAGTCAAAACTTAATAAAATTTAATGAATTAAACAAAGGTGCATAAGGAAACAACTACTCATGAGGTGACTAGTTACAATATAGATAAGAGTGAGCAGCTAATGCATCAGTATACCAACTAGAAAATAATAGTACATAGTAACTAGTAAGCATTAAGACAATGATTGTTAGCATGCTGACGCATTTAAGTCCAATAAATCAATTTCTAGTATACAACAAGTTTACAGGACCTTCAAAATCCAGTAAGAAACTTTTCTCCTGCACAAAAACCTATGCCTCCCTCTTCTTTCAAATGGTCAAACATTAGCACAGCAATACTTGGAAATCCTAAGATATCACATACTTGAATGTAGTTGACTCAAAGATAACTAAACCTTAACTAATGCTTTGAACTTTGATTAAACTGATATGAGTATTTTAATTACATGCATTACATACTCCATGACTTTATTTAATGATTTTTTATCCTGATACTTAAAATGCCTTCTAAACAGAAGTTGCAAAATTATACGTTCATAGTCACCTTACCAGAAGCAGTAGCTCATAAATTATTTCAGCCAGCTTAAGCAAATACCATCCGTGTTTCATTCAATAAGGGGAAATAAACTTGTATATAACCATTACAGATTCCATGACTTTTTTTAATGATTTTTACCCGAAGCTTAAAATATCTTCTACACAAATTATACACTCATAATCATCTTACCAGAAGCAGTAGCTCATAAATTATTTCAACCAGTTTAAGCAAACACCATCCAAGTTTCTTTCAGTAAGAGAAATAAACTTGTAATTGCAACCATTACAGACTCCATGACTTTATTTAATGATTTTTATCCTGACGCTAAAATATCTTCTAAACAAAAGTTGCAAAATTATACATTCATAACCATCTTACAAGAAGCAGCAACTCATAAAGCATTTTAACCAGTGTAAGAAAACACCATCCAAATTTCATTCAATAAAGGGAAATAAACTTGTAGGTCATTGCATAAATAATTAAAATTTTAAAAGTTCAGTATATAGAAGAATGCAGAAATTTCACAGCTCTGGCTATCTCACTGGAGGGATTAAACACCCATCACTTCCTATGAATATAAACAGTAGCACTAAGTTCATCAACATATTAAAATGTTACTTAGACACCTATGAACCGCTTGGTTGGAGGATTTGGGAAATATAGAAGGGAATAAACCTTTGTGCTTGGACTAAGCCTATTGGAATGAACTTTTCAAACTCAAAAAAAAAAAAAAAAATATGGGACTTTCTTTCAAAGTGGATAGAGAGGGATTAAAATGATTTCAATTTCCAATACCTGTATGTAAATTAAGATTCCAACCTGTGAACTACGCAGCACTCTAAATTTATATCACAAAATTCTCTTCTATTATTATAAAAATAAAAGATTCAAAGTTCTCCAATGCCAGTCCAAGTTTTAATATCATGATTGGCTTAATACAACAAGTATATGGCATAATAATTAGCAGTTATAGCATGATGTTCCACATGAATGTCCACTAACTCTAAGAATTGTTACTTATAACATTATGAAGTTGTCAGTACCAGGGAAAATAATCAGTTCTGTTTTCTATAAATAATATATAAGACTTCAAAAGGCTTAATGTTCCCCAGACTTCTAGATAATCAGAGGTCACTTTTCTATATTCACCATAGTTCCTGTAAATTTAATTTACCTCAACCCTGCCTTCCCTCCCCCCGCTATCAATAAATTATCATGATACTGGGGACTCCAATGGGCTAATGCATGGATTGTCCCCACTTGCTTGCTGCATGGGTTGCTGTGTTAATGCAAAGAAAAACAGGTCAAGAAAGCTTTTCAATAAAATTGTCTATGTTGCCATCCTGTGCATTGGTTTTAATTACACTTCTATGTTGTCGTTGTGGTTGTACCTTTTGCAACATGAAATTAGGTTCTACACTTAAATAATTTTTGAAAATTTGTCAAATCTATCAAATATGTAACAGTAGCTACACCTCAACTAAAAAAACCAGGTGTTTGTTATCGTGATTCCAAACCTGTTTCCGCACTATTCACATATTCTTTCCCCTAAAAAAATATCACAATCAACAACCTACTTTCGTTCAAACATCAAATCGAACACCATTTATCATTCAAAATTTTCCTATTCTGAAAATAACCCAAAACACCAAAATACTTCTATACACAACTAAAAAAACCCCAGGATAGTCACGGTTAGAACTTCAGACAACCCTATATCTAGAACAGTCATCCCTAAACAACTGAATTTTTTACTCATTAGCAGAACTCATAGAAGCAGGCCTTCCAATAGACAGTGAGAAAATGTGGCAGACGCGCAGCAGTGCAAGTTTCATGACAATTTAAAGAAAGACCTTGTATAAAAAATTAATATCACCAATCAACATCTAGCTTCCAGGCTACATTGAATTATTGTTTTATACCTCCATTTGGATCCTGGGATCCTTCAGGCAAAGCAGAACCATCAAGAGCAACTTCAGGAAGCAATTGTGTTCCAACATCCAGCACGTCCTGCAGGTGCTCCTTCCCGTGATGATCTTGAGATGTTGAAATGCGCTCATCATTTGAGTTATTCAATAACGAATCATTCCTCTCCACATCAGGGAGAGTAATATCATCTGGAGGCACCAAACAATAGAATTAGCAAAAATTCCATTTATGCTCTTTACATAATACCTAGATCTATAAGCACAATGTTTAAACAGAATTATCAAGATCTCTGCAAAAATCTGATGACTCGTACAGCAGGAAGCTGTATGCTCTCCATATGAAGTGGGATAATCCCCGATCATATGAAGGAAACATATGTATATTCTCATATAATAAAACCACATATAAAAGAAAAGGTGTTGTGAAGGTAAATTACATTTTCCATGTTTATCCTTTAGGCTGATCTGAATTTTAAATACAAGAAAGATGACTTTTGTAAGGAATGATGCTACCAGGAACTTTCACATAGATTCAAAAGCATTTCGTACTGGAAATTGTTTTACAATTGCAATTGCTAAGAAATAAACTAAAGAGTTTTTCCCACATTGTTATATGACTCTCAAAGACTCAAAGGGTGTGTTCTTTTATCCAACTTCAACAAATTTCTACTATTCATACATTTTTTCCCTCCCAAAAACATCAAATCAAACAACTATTTTTTATTTTCTATGTTATATTAAAATTCAATTTTACATTCAAAACATCATATTAATAGTTCAATACGTATGTATATCACATCATACAACTACTCCAATTTAAAAAATTTACTATTCAAATCCTAGGTCAAAATCCAAATCCCCAAACAAATACACCCACAACATCTGGTTGACCATATTTGCCTTACCAGCATGTTCCACCAGAGAAAAAATTAAAAACGGCAGTAATTTCATGGCTAACAAAATTAGATATGCAGCTTTTGAATTTGAATACAAAAAAAAATAGGTAGATCAGACCAAGAAATGATGTTAAGCCAGTCAAGCATTAAAAAATAAAATTAATATTATTATTATAAAAAAAATAAAATAAAAATATCTCCTACGCAGATGAAACATCATATCCAAATTCACGCAGAAATATAAGTATAAAATCAAGAACATACATTTGGCTTGACAATAAACCCACTTGAAGAATCATAGATTAAGCATTTATCCCTGGGGTCAGCTATATGGTTCACATGCCTCCATTGTATACACTTACAGAACATACTAAAAGGTAACAAAATAAACCATTATATAAGATAAAGCACAACAATATGATATAATGATTTCATGTCCACTACTACATCAGAAAGATAACAGGTCCAAAAATATCAGTAGGTTGAAGAAACATAAAATTTTCAGGGTAAAAGTTATAAATCAAACATAATATAAAACACAAATATATGAAACCTAGCCAACCAAAATGCAGAACAAAGTGAAAAGCTTATCCAGTCTAAACATAGCTCCTAATTCCCAAGAAAATCAATAGCTCCTCAGAATTGAGGAAATTGTAGTAAGGTGAGTGCACAACAGCATAAGTAGATATGGTTAGCTAAAAGAAAAAGAATAAAAAGGCATAACCATTATTTAGAGAGAGAGAGGAAAAGTACTTGTTCCCGTTCATATTCTAATAAACTTTACTGCACTAGAATGATTTCTTATTCCAAAATCTCAAGCAATGCTGTTTAAAGAAAATGAAGCATTTGACCAACACAAAGTAAAAATATAATAAACCTCTTCCACATTGTGTATAAAAAGCAGGTATCTGACAGAACTCTAAGACTAACCTTCCATGTCCATATCAGAGTCACCAGGTGAATGAGTGGCAATAGCATCCTCAAACTCTACCTTAGGGTCAATTTTTTCAGTATGCGGAAGTACGTCTTCAGCTTGATGCAAGCTTCCATCTTTCACAGACTTTCCGGGAGATGTGTGTTCCGATATAGAATCATTTCCATCTTGTATCCTCCCCTGGCTTCCTTCATTATTTGACAAAATATCTGATGGGGGTGAAGATGGAGGAAGTGGTGGAACTATAGGTGGGGAAGAAGAAGGCAGAGGTGGAGGAGGTGGTGGTGGTGGAAGGGGAAGTGTCCCCATTGATTGTGGAAAGGAATGTTGTCTCACTGGAGGGACAGGGGGACCATAAGGATCAGGTCTTAAAAACCCAGGAATGCTCGGTGGCTGTGGGGGCGGTGGACCATGAAATGAGGGTTGAAAAGAACGGCCTCTCTCCATAGTATGCTCTTGCGAAGATGCCAGTGGATAAGCACTTGGAGCAGGAAGAGGTGCCGCAGGAGGAAATTGATGAGCATTTTGATTCCACGGCTGACGTTGTTGCTCGGAAGCAGGATAGGGACAAGACATTTGGGCGCCTGCATTGCCCTGAGGAGGTTGAGGATAAGTTACATAGGATTGGTTAGAACTCATTCCACTTGTTACAGCTGGGACCGGTGGGCCCTGTTGAGGAACACTGGGTACAGTATTCGGATATGCCACAATGCCGGGTCTAAAATGAAAATAAGGATGCCCTTGTGGAATGGCATGTGGTGGGGGAGGAAGTGGACCGTGATGAGGGACAGGCGGAGGACGAGGTACGGCAACAGGGTGGTGCTGAAATGCAGGCTGTGGAGCATAAGGAGCCTGCCCAGCTTGAGTTGTGTAATTCCCTTGACCATGCATCTTAAAACCAAGCTAAAATAATAATCGACAGAACTAGGCTCACAGCATCCTCCACAAGTTTCCCCACTGTTAAATTATCCTCTGCAACAAAAAAGACGTAAAAGGTCAAATGATTCGTGCTGACAGAAAATAGAAGCAATACATAATAGAAGTAGCCCGTGTTTTCAATACAGTTGCTAATAGCAAATTCAAACTATGACCATAGCAACAGCAAAGGTTCAATCTTGAGCAGAGAGTCATGTAAATATTAAAGATCAAACCCTAATTTTTTTTTGCAAAACAAACAGCCTTCCAGCATCTTAGCAAGCATTTTGATTATTCCCACAACAAAAATGCACCCTAATAGACATTAAAAAAGAAGTAAATCCATTTAAAATAAATCTAAAACCACACAACTCTTCTCCATTAAATAAATAAATTCAAGCTCATATTCATCCACGCGGGCGCGCGCTGTCCGCCACGATCGGGGCGACGGCGTTCCGCGGGCATGTCGACTGCCCGGGCTTCGGCCGCCGCCTCAATCCGCGCTGGTCCGCGCCCCGAGCCGATAGGCGGACCGGCTCTCGCCGTTCCGCATCCGGCCGGGGCGCATCGCCGGCCCCCATCCGCTTCCCTCCCGACAATTTCAAGCACTCTTTGACTCTCTTTTCAAAGTCCTTTTCATCTTTCCCTCGCGGTACTTGTTCGCTATCGGTCTCTCGCCCGTATTTAGCCTTGGACGGAATTTACCGCCCGAAAATTCAAAGAAATGATTGGATAATTGGGTTCTATAAACCCTTCTCGGAAGAAACCACAGCGAAAAATGCCATTGCCAAAAAGTGACAAGGTAGCATTTCCATTTATTCATTAAAACTGACGTTCCTTTTGAAGCCAAGATGAATCTTCTTTGATACCTAATATAATGCATCAGAAACAAACTCCCAACAACTAACACCTCCAACAAAACATTAACATCTCGCACAAACTCATAAAACACAAATCGGCAGGCTCGCTTTTATCCCTTTCAAGCCTTCGTAGCACCACTCCCTCCCAAAGGACACAATATTTGCAAATAAATCAAACAACAAACCGAGAGTTCATAAATTAAATTGAAAATACATGAAGATGTAGTCGGCTAAACAAACTGCAATCCAGACGCGAAAATGTAGTGGCCGGAAACGACGCGATGGGGCGTCCGCAAGGCAGACGAGGAAGAGTAATCGGTGAGAGAAACCCTAACGCAGGAAGGAAGCTGATAGGTGTACGCCGTTCCACAAGTGATTCTGATTCGATGAGAAAGGAAGAAAGTTTGCCAGATTTTTTTATTATTATTAGTATTATTTTCTTAATGGGTTAATTATATTTATGTATTTATATATATATATATAGTGCTTTAGTATTTTAAAAATATATAAATATTCAATGTAATATTTAAAATTAAATACTAATTCTTTATATAATATAATATAAGAATAGTAAATATAATTATTATTTTTATTTGAGGCATAAAAAATATACTACTAATATTTAATATTTTATTTCTATATATTTTTATTTATATATATTTACATTTTTATTTTTTTTTACTATGTAAATTTTATCATTTTTATGGATGTATTTGTTTAGAATTTATTTGTATAGTGTTTTGATTTGTATTATATTTTCAATGTAAGATATATGGAATTGCATCCGATAATATAAAAAAAAAATATTAATATTTTATATTGATAATTGACTTTTGTAATAAAATAATTATATATATTAAGAATAGCATTGAAAAAAATTTGACAAACAAATTAGGAGTGTTTTTGTTTGATGTATATTTTTATACAAAGTATAAAATATAATCTTGATTTTTTTTTTTTTTTGTAAAAATATATATATACTGTAACTCATGTCAATAAAATATTATTTAAATGAACAAAGTTATTTTACTTTGGGACGTGTATATTTGGATTTGAATTTTAAATTACAATTTAAATAATTAAAATATTTGAATTAAAATAATGGTATGATTATAATTCTTTAAACACGCACCCTTAAGCGATTCTTCCAATGTGATACTATTATTTATATTCATACGATATATATATATATAATATTCATTTGCTCATAAGAAAAATTAAAAAAATTAACAATTAATATTTTTGAACATTAAAAATCTATTTTGAATATATATTTAATCAAATACTATATACTCCCTCTATCTAGAACTATAGTTTTAGGTTGTGCACGGAATTGGTAAAAAGTATGAATAAAAGATTTTTTTTTTTAATGTAAAAAATAGTGACAAATGTGTAATAAAAATAAAAATAAAACTATTCTTTTGAGGTGGAAAAAAAAGACATAGAGAATATCATAATATAAGATTTGTTCATTTAGGCTTCAGTGAAACAATTTTCTATAAATATTATTAAAAAACAATAATATATATATATTAATCCAATATATAATAGATAATTTTATCTATAAAAAAAATAATAATTTAATATAAAATATTATTTAAAAAAATATATGAGAAATTGTAATTGCTCTAAACTAAAATGTAACATTGTTTTTTTTTAAAAAAAAAAGCAAAAAAAAAACAAAAACAAACACAAACACGATATCTGTTTTTTCGACCAATAAAAAATTAATAGTAGTATTTTCGTTAAACCTCTTCTAGAAGGTAAAACCTCTCCATTCTTCCCTTCCTCCGCCGATCGGCACACCACACAGACAACAACACACTCTGCTGAAAATGCCAAAGCCAACAATCCCTCTTTCATCTTTGCACCTGCGCAAATTCCACCTCTTCCGTTGCTTCTCCGCGCTCCCCAATTCGCACGCCCGCCATTTCCTCACCCTTCAGCCGCTTCCGCTGCCGCCGCCGGGGCCGCGATTCCAGCCTCCAAAAATTTTCCCCCACTCCAGCTCCTTTCAATTTCAGCGCTTTTTTATTAGGGATTTTTCTTCCGAGGCCGATGGCGCTTCCTCGAGTTCTGTCGCTGAAAGCGAGAAGGAGTCAGGGGAAGAATCCATGGCGGAATTGCTTTCCAGCGAGCTTCTGAAAGATCTCGTTGCAGAGCCTCTCCCGTTGCCTAAGAGGCTCGATCTTTCTTTCTCTCACATAACTGTAAGCTCTGATTTAATCCTCGATACGCTTAATATTTCCCCCGATGCGGGGCGTGTAGCTCTTGATTTCCTTAATTGGGTTAAGTCTCGGCCTGGTTTTGAGCCAAGTGATGAAGTTTATTCACATTTTGTCGATTATTTTGGGAGAAGAAAGGATTTCAAGGCTGCTCATGAGGTTATTGTGGATGGAAAAGGAGTAGTAGGGATTAAGTGTCTTGAGGCTTTAGTTGATAGGTTGGTTAGAGCAGGTAGGCCTACACAAGCTGTGTCGTTATTCGATTCGATGGGGAAAGAGTATGGATTTGCAAGGAACATGGATTCACTGAAGCTGATAGTATTGCGTCTTTGCGAATTCGGGTTTGCGAGTTATGCTGAAAAGATGGTCAAGAGTTTGGCTAATGAGTTCTTTCCAGATGAGTATATATGTGATGCATTGATCATGGGGTGGTGTGTTGATGAGAAATTAGACGAGGCGAAGAGATTGGTGGAGGAAATGAGACGGGGAGGGTTTGAGATTGGTACGAATGCGTACAATGCGATTTTAGACTGTGTTTGTAGGTTGTGTCGAAAGAAGGATCCTTTCAGGCTTCAAGGGGAGGCTGAGGATGTTTTGATTGAGATGGAAAGGAATGGCGTGCCGCGGGATGTGGATACGTTTAATGTGCTGATTACCAATTTGTGCAAGATTAGGAAAACTGGGGATGCGATGAATCTGTTTAACAGGATGGGGGAATGGGGTTGTTACCCTGATGAAACTACTTTTGTTGTTCTAATTAAAAGTTTGTATCAGGCTGGACGGATTGGCGAAGGTGATGAAATGATCGATAGAATGAAGTCGGCAGGATATGGGGATGCTTTGGATAAGAAGGCTTATTATGAATTTATGAAGATACTGTGTGGGATCGAAAGAGTAGACCATGCACTGAGTGTTTTTGAAAAGATGAAGGACGATGGCTGTGAACCGGGCATTAAGACGTATGATTTGTTGATGGGAAAGCTGTGCGCTTACAGGCGTTTGAATAAGGCGAATGCACTTTACAAGGAAGCTGAGAGTAGTGGAATACCAGTCGAGCCTAAGTCTTACATGGTCGATCCAAGAATTGTGAAGAAGAAGAAGGAGGCTGCTGCTGCAGCTGCTTTGAAGAAGGAGAAGAAAAGAGAGACATTGCCTGAGAAGATGGCCCGTAAAAGAAGACGCCTTAAGAAGATTAGGTTAAGTTTCGTGAGGAAGCCAAAGCGGACAATGCGCCGTGCTCTTTAATTTATTCAGGGTTTGATTGTATTTCAGTCACATTTAAAGTTTGTGATGGTTAGTCGTTTCAGGTAATTTTTCTATCATCATTTTTCTGATTCAGCTTTATTTTTTTGACACATTTACCTTGTTATTGGACTTAAAAAAAAAAAAAATCTTTTTCTGATTAGTAAGTTGTGTTTGAATTTCAATCCTGTTTCGCCACAATGTTTATGAATGTTCCTATGCTAATATCAGCTATTTTTGGGACATTTCTTGCCCATCTCTACCGAAGTGTTTGCTTATTTTGAACATTCAAAGATATCCGCTTGTCTTTGTATTCATGTTCATGACTTCAGATATGAACCCATGAGATCATTTACGGCATCCATAATGTGAACCCGCACCAATGGAAACCTGCTCTTGAGCGCACTGTATATTGCATACATACTCGATTTCCAACTGATTTGTACTGCTCTGTATAGATTAACTGTTTTTTGTTGAGTTTTTCTCTGGAGGTGAAGGCTGGTTAGTGTGTCCAATATCGGGATGTGGATGCAAATGCTAGGCAATTTTACTTGGTACTCAATTGCTTAATGATTGTTACTATTAGTTTGTGGGCTTGGTTAGGGTGCTGAACTGAATTAATTGGCATTGTGTGACAACACATAACATATAGGCGATCCGCATATGGCTTGAATAAATATAGTGTTTGCTTATTTTGAACATTCAAAGATATCCGCTTGTCTTTGTATTCATGTTCATGACTTCAGATATGAACCCATGAGATCATTTACGGCATCCATAATGTGAACCCGCACCAATGGAAACCTGCTCTTGAGCGCACTGTATATTGCATACATACTCGATTTCCAACTGATTTGTACTGCTCTGTATAGATTAACTGTTTTTTGTTGAGTTTTTCTCTGGAGGTGAAGGCTGGTTAGTGTGTCCAATATCGGGATGTGGATGCAAATGCTAGGCAATTTTACTTGGTACTCAATTGCTTAATGATTGTTACTATTAGTTTGTGGGCTTGGTTAGGGTGCTGAACTGAATTAATTGGCATTGTGTGACAACACATAACATATAGGCGATCCGCATATGGCTTGAATAAATATAGTGTTGGGTTGATTCTTAGAATGTGCTGTCAGTTTAGATTGTAAAAGTGTGTTGCTTTTATATACATTATGTGTTGACTTAAATTATAATATGTGTTGTATGCACTATTTTTACGCCCTGTCAATTGATATGTTGCATTTGTATTGTTGTTCTGTCTATTTATACTTCATGTGATGTTGGATTATATTTCATGTGTTGTCGGCACCATACAGGAACAACATCTATTAAACAACATCTATTAGTATGTTCATTCGCCTTGTAGTATTGAGGTCTTATTATCTACGTCAACAATCTGTAAAACTTTGACAGGTCAGATAGGTACTAGGATCAATTGGTTCAACATAAGCCTGACCTCCTTTATCTTTGGCATGCGAACCAGGTTCGATCTAATCTTATCCAAACCCGCCAATGCTAAATAGGAATAATTTCTCTGCACTAGTTTCTATTGAGTTCCTGTAGTCATGTCTGAAATTACTGAGCCTAATTAGCTATTGCAGGCCAAAGTTATGTATTGCTGCATATATAGGTTGTTGCCTTTGAAAAAGAAATAGCATATTCTTAACTTAATTTCAGATGCATTGAGATTATAGGGTGGGTTTGGATGTAGGTTTGGAGGTGGAATAGTAAAGATTTGAATTAGATAAGTGTTCGATACGATGCCTTGAGAAGGCAAAAAGTGATGAATAGTGTGGGAGTCTCTCAATCCTACATCTAAACACGCCATTTCAACGGCAACATATGTGGTATTGCTCCAAAAATGCCCTTGAGTTAGGGATCGATGTAGGCGACATTCATGTCACACGGCATTTTGGTTTCCCCTGTATCATTGCAAGGTACGCTTACTATATCTACATTTTTTCTCAGTCTCATATTGTTCCCATCCAAAAACTCTGCCTTAGATAACAGGACCGATGAACAGACAGATCAGCCCATTCAGAATCATCTCGACCCTGGCCTTCATTTGGTCTAGGTCTTTAGCCTATACCCTTATCTGATGGCCCAACCAGAACCTACCGATCACAACAAGGCTCAACAATGGCCAAGTCTAGTACAGTTCTGGCTCAATGAAGTCTAACCCTCTCTCGGCTCGTCCACAAATTAGTCGAGCCTTCTTACCCAGCTCCCCAACAAGGTATCCGAGGAGGCCTGATAGCCAAAAAAACCAGCCTGATGCAATGCTACCTGTATGACTCCAAGAAGTTCACTATGAACCATCCGGTCAATCTTTCTCCTTTAATTTTTGTTGTGTTATTTGTCGCTTTCTTAGTCATGTAGTCGTTAATTGCAATGAATACTTTTGTTATTTCGGCATTAATTTAGACCAGTTTTGTTTTTCCACATTCTTAATTACCATTTTAGCCGATCATATCGCATGCTGGCTTGCATCATGTTGTCTGGGAGTCCACACTTTTCACTCTCCCAACAGATAGATACTTAAGAGAGAATAATTCTAGGCCACATATATAATATCCTTTTATTGCTGTTGATTCTTATTTCTATAAGAAATTATTTTTCATGATTTTCCCTTTTATTTAGGGAATGCAGTTTGTGGCCATTAAGAAGTGATCCGAGTTTTCAATCTAAAATCAACAGGTGATAGGGGAAGTTACCTTTCACCCTTATAAACCAAGGAAGTTTCCACATCATATCCAATGTGGGACAATATTCAACACTATCCCTTCGGGATGATAATCTCGAAAATTCATACAAGATTAATACCCAATATGAACACTATAGCTCTGATACCAATGACAGTATTGTCTAAAAGCTTGAATTGTTAGGGAAACATAATAATTAATTATTTATTTGCAAACGAAAGTTTCCAACACGGTCCCTCAGGTGCAAGTGGAGGTATGCAAAATTTACACGTGCATATGCAGCAAATAAGGACGGTATGATTTAAACTCGAAACCTAATATAGACTCTGATACCATATTAAGAAAGGACCCGATGGTTTTAGATTGGAAGCTCAGATTCATTCATGACCGTGGCAACGAGCTGGAAGGTATAGAAGAAGAAGAAGAAAGCCCTCTCTTGCTATTTATGTTTCATTTGAAGGGCCTTTATCTTTACTTTATAAAGTTTCTTCACATGTGGTTGTGTTTGTTTATCGCGTGGATTTTGAGTTTTGAATAGTAAAAATTTTGAATTGGAATAATGATACGGTGTAATATAAATAGATGTTGATATGATATTTTAACGTAAAATTAATATTTAGTATAATATAAAAAATAAAAATAGATATTTGATTTGATATTTACTGGAGAAAAAAATTTGATAAATAGTAATTTTGAGGGAAAATACCCCAAACAAACATACCTGTAGGGTCCCATTGTTCATCCAATTATATGACCAGGTGCATATTCATATGCATATACACACTAGCTCACTTGTTTATTACAACTTGGGCATTTGAATACGACAGAAATCTTGACCTACATTTTTGTTCCATTTTTCACGCTAATCCATGTTCTTATGCTAATTCAGTGCAAGAAATTCATTGACTCACTAGATCTGTACACAGCAGCTGAAGATCGAAGAAACACATTTGACTTGAGGTATGGCAGCTTATGCAGCTCTAGTTTCTCTTACCAACACTATTGCTATGGAGCAGATTCCACGGCCTCTCATATCCCACCAGATCTCCATTGATGGAGGGCTGATTGAAGCTCTGCAAGAAAGGGTTGATTTCTTGGTGCAATTTCTTGAAGAAGGCTGGAAAGGATCGAAGGGTTTGGAGGATTGGATTGCAGCTGCAGCACATGGTGCAGAAGATGCCATTGAATCATCTGTTGTGGGTAAATTTCTTGCTTACACAAGTCAAACAGAGGAGGAAGGCTCGATTCTATTACGCGAAGCACTGGAAAAAGCAATAGAAGATTTCGATTGTATCAAGGACGAGGCGATGGAGATTAAAGAGAAGAGTGAGATCAAAGATGTGCATGGATCAAGTTCAACATTTGTTGGCTCATCTCAAGGAGGGAATAACACAATTGTTGGATTCGAGCATGAAAAAATTCGAATCATGGAAGAGCTTACATCGAGGAGCCGGCCTAGCCGTGTAGCCGTGCCAATAGTAGGCATGGGCGGGATAGGTAAAACCACGCTTGCTCGAAATGTTTTTGACGATAAGCTTATCGTGCAATATTTTGATATTCGTGCTTGGATTACGGTGTCTCAAGAATACAATCTAAGAGAGATTCTTATGGGAGTTCTCTATAGCGACGGGCCGGGAAATACTACAAGTAAGAGTTTTCAAGAATTCACTAATGAGATGAATAAGAAGAGCGAAGAGACTTTACAAGAGTTAGCACACCAAAGATTGTCGGGGAGGCGATACTTGATTGTAATGGATGACGTTTGGGATGCCGATGTTTGGTATAAGATAAAGAGGTTTTTTCCGGACAATGGCAATGGGAGTCGAGTGGTAGTAACTACTAGGCTCTCGGATGTGGCTAATGAAGTCGGAACTAGTAGCCATAAGATGAACTTCCTCGGAGAGGATAGTAGTTGGGATTTACTCCGAGATCGAGTATTTGGACAAGGAAGTTGTCCTACCGAATTAGAAAGTATTGGCAAGACGATTGCGAAAAGTTGTAGAGGGCTTCCTTTGGCAATTGTAGTCATCGGGGGACTTCTTGCAAAGTCGGAGATGACATTGGAGTATTGGGAGCACGTCGCCGAAGATGTTAGCTCGGCTATATCTTTAGAAAGCGACGAGGAAAATTATTTGGATGTGTTGTATTTGAGTTACGATCGTTTACCTGCTCATTTGAAGCCGTGCTTTTTGTATATGGGCGTGTTTCAAGAAGATCAAGAGATTCGTGTCGCCGAGCTCACAAAACTATGGGTTTCCGAAGGATTTCTAAAGCCAACGGAAGGCAAGATCATGGAAGATATTGCAGCAGAGTATTTCGAAGATCTATTCGAAAGAAATCTCGTTTTAGTTAGCAAGCGAGGTTCGAGGGGGAAGATCAAATCTTTCCATATCCATGATTCATTGAGAGATCTTTGCCTGAGAGAAGCTAAGAAGGAGGAGTTCTTTTGCATCATGAAAACCGACGAACTTGAGCTTGTCGAAGAAGACATGAGTATTCAGCGACGGATTGTTGTAAACAAAGGCGAATTTTTCTACCAATTCGAAGAGTATGAGTTGTTACGATCAGCATCGTGTGCTCGTTCGTTGCTGTGCAATGCTGAAGATATCTTGCCCCGACCTGAGTTCCCGTTGCTTAGGATACTGACCGTTATCGACAAGTATGCTTTCAAGCCTAACGAGGATGCTGATAAGTATCCCGTCGAAGACATTTTTCGACTCGCTAACTCACGGTATCTCGCTTTTAAACCTTGCTGGAGTCGCAACATGTCGAGTACTTTCTCCGTGAGTTACTTGAGGAATGTGCAGACGATAGTCGTGAGCGGGGCGTGGACTTTCTACGCGCCGTCGGAGATATGGAGATTGCCTCTGCTTAGGCACATCAGGTTCAAGTCAATTCATCTCCCTGACCCAAGTTTTATGGATAATAGAGCTGTTTTAGAACACTTGCAGACATTAATGAATGTCGAAAACTTCATTTGCTCCGACGAGATTGTTCGAAAGGTTCGAAACATCCGAAAGCTAAAGATTCGATACAATGACATATCGAGGGGGCGATGTAAGGATTGGTCAAGTTACCGCGCCAACAACCTCGTCCATTTGGAGAACCTCGAATCATTGTCTCTACATTTCCCGCGATACAATCCACGAGTTAAGCGCGATTCGGTGCTAAACCATCTCGCCTTCCCCCAATCGCTCGTCAAGTTAACTTTGGACGGCTGCGGACTTCGTTGGGAAGACATGTCGATAATTGGCTCGTTGCCTAATCTTGAAGTGCTCAAACTTGAAGTGAACTCGTTCGAAGGAAATGAATGGAATCCGGTCGAGGGTGAATTTCTTCGCCTGAAATTCTTGATGATCAATGGCTGTGACGAACTTAAGCAATGGAATGCAGATTACACTCACTTCCCTCGCCTCGAGCAACTTGTTTTACGATTCGTATGTTTGGATGAGATACCATTGGAGATCGGAGAGATAGCATCGCTTCGATTGATCCAATTGGAAGGTTGTAGCGAATCTTCGGTCTTCTCTGCCAAGAACTTACTCGATGAACAAGAGAGCCTCGGAAATTATAGTCTTCGAATTAATGTTATAGTCTTAGTTCGCGCGATGGAGCACGGGACGAAGGTGGAGAGCTCGGCGAGCGAAAATTTCCATGTACAAATAAGGTAAGAAAGCTTCTATGGTTTTTGTCTTTCTTTTTACTCGAGCTTCAACGTTTAACTCGAAAACTTAGTCTTAACTTAACGGCGTACGTTTCTTTTATCCGGCGCGCACATATATATATATATGTGAATTACAGGGTATGCTTCTTTTGATTGGTTTGAAAAAAAATTAATTTGAGTTTGATATTAAAATAATGTATGATAAGATATTTTGTAAGAAAAAAATATAATTTTTTCGAGAAATGCAAAATCTAAATAGTAAAAACGTGGATTTTTGGGTAAAAGGCTTTGTGCTAACTAAGGATGCTGTTTCTACTACTTTTTTCAGCCAAGATTTGAGGTGCTTCTAAAGTATATCGATGGTTGCAACTCCTCTTAAGGTAAAGTTTAAAACTTTTTTATTTCGATGCCTTTTAGGTGAAAAAACTTGTGGAGTTTGATGTTTTAAATTTAAAACAAATTCTTAGATATTATAATTTGTTTTAGAAAAAATAATAGATTGATCAGAATGTATATACACATATGATGATGAACTGACAATACATGATAATAGTTTACACAATATATTTTACGGACCGATCCATGTAGGGGCTTGGGGTCCTCTCATTTTTATTTTTTTTAGTGTAATTTTTAAAAAACTTTTATCTAATTATTAGTATTTGTCCTCCTATAAATTCATGATTAACACTCTATATTATTGTTTTAATTTATCATAATATATAATATTTTTATTTATAAATATATTATATAAAAAATAAAATATTTTATTCTAAATATTAGTAGTCCTATATCATTTTTTTCCGCTCTCTTTTTTTTTTTTCTTTCTTTATCACCTCATTATAGTATCATCGGGAATTGAAAAAAGCTACGGTGAGACAGTGACATCAAATTGGTAGAAATAAATCAACAAGAAAATTCTTATTGGTTTTTTGCATATATAAAAAGCCTAATGATTGGTTCAAATAAAAAATACATAGTTTATTTCATGATTTGAAATAATTTAAAATCGAGAATAAATGGTAAAAAAAAATGAAACTAACAGGCCGGACAATTTTACCCCCTGAGCCTTATAGTTAGTTCCGTCGCTGATTATGTGCAACCCATTGAGAATAGAATTTCTTTACTTGACACTTGATTAGGGCTTGTAAAGGATCCATTGCTTGGGTTACTATCGGTTTGATACGGATGCTCGCATAATTTGATCGCTAAACTAAGTCAGATTTATGATAATGATATAGTACATCAGCGATGCGTATTGGCTACACACTCCAGCAAAGCTTTCGCTTATGAAAGAGTATTGTTCACGAACATCGCTACCGTGTGGCTCTCTACACACAACATAGCTTATTGTAATAACACTATTATTAATAATCATTCAAAGTAAATACATCGTGGTAGATTTGAGCAACTTTCGTTCCCTTTCTTTTGTTTGGCTTTGGAGGGCCTTAGTTAATTAATATTTCCCGCCAATATGTTTAGTTTTGTTAATCAAAGATCTTAAATTATACTTTCTCCGTAAAATAGACAATTAAAGTTCTATAAAAAATTAAAATATTCTTAGATTATAAAAAAACTCATATTTAATGAGAAATATATGTTCAAAGAGATATTTGGCGACATTCTACAAATATTGCATGTCCGGTGCATCTTTTGCAAACATAAAAATAAAATATACTCCATCCATCCGGCTATAAGAGTCTCATTTATTTTTTGCGTCATTATATTTAACATTAAGTATATCTTTATATTTATATAATTTTTTTTCACAAATATCATTATAATAGTATTACAAGACACTAATAGAAATAGAAATATTTTTGTTATTTTTCTTAGTTTGTACTACATTTTTCATATAATAATTAATATTCAAATATCATCGCACAAAAAATAAATGAGACCTTTAGAACGGAACGATGGTAGTAGTATAATAAAACTCTATGTGATATTTTTATGTAGAATATTGACATTTTATATATATAAAAAAAAAAGTTATGAGAATAGAAAATAAAACAAGAATGTAGGATGCTATTTTTAGCATTACCATATTACTAGAAATGTATAATTAATTAATTATGGGTATATTAGTAATTAACTAACTTAATTAGGAATCTTGATAGAGCAAGATGCCAAATGCCTACATTGACATAGGGCACCCCACTTTGATATCCCCACCCTTATTGCTTTCTACTAAAATATCACAACCATTTCTTGTCTTTATATTTTACATTTAAATAAAAATTGAATATAATACTCTCCAATCTAGAATCGATTTATCCGTTCTATCATTTAGATTCATCCAAAATTTATTTATTTATTTTATTTTAGTAATTGTGATTTTCATAAATATTAAAAAAGATATTTCCATCTTATGTATTACTATAATAATGTTATCACTATAATTTAATTACATTATATAATATTCATAGGATAAACTTGTATATTCATTTTCCTATCGTATTTATATACATATAATCAGTATGTTCATTCAGCGATTTTATGTAAATTGGTTATTATTATTATTATTTTTTTAGATAAATTGGTTTTTTGTGTGTGTGGTATCGAAAACTGTGTTGGTAATATAAAAAAAATATTTTGTGTTGAATGATTGACTTTTTATGAGTGAATAATGTATATATTATATCAAGTATATTTGTATTTTTTAATAATATTTATAAAAAATTGTTCGATTGAGAAAGACTGAGTGAACAAACTGAATATACTCTCCCAATCTCACGTATTAATATTTACCATTTATTTCATTCTCACAAAGTATTACAAATTTTAATCATATTTAAAAATTTCGAATTTAAAAATTTTAAATTTTTAACTATAAGAATTACTTATCTTAACCTTAATTTATAATTATTTTTTTACTAATACATTTTAATTATTTACTAAACATACCTCTTCTAAATTCTCGTGTATACAGTAACTCTAATATTATTATATCAGAGACGGAGGGAGTACTAATATTCTAATAACCAACAAATAAATATGTTTATCCCGGACAAATAGAGTATTACATGAAATAAAATAACTATTTTATAGAAAATATCATAGGTCGTGTTTATTTGTGCGATTTTCACGAGATTTTAATGTACGATTTTGATTATAAAAGTCTATTGCCTATCCTTCATGCATCCGCTACGGCAATGTAGGTATATAATATAACTCTTAAAATAATTATAAATAAATTAAAGAGTAAATAATTAGATTTTCAAGTTATTAAAACATATAAATAAACTCTCGATGAAGTTTTATTAGTTAGGAGTAGGTTATAAAACTTGAAGCATTTTAAAAATAAAAAGAATAAGGGCAAAAGAAAAATTAAATTTAAATCCGAGACTAATAATAGAAAGTATCATAGATATGGAGACCCAAATTATTTAATAAATCAATGACCGCATCATTATAAAAAAAAAAAAAAACCCAACAATGTGAGCAAACGACTACATGTATAAAGAATAATGTTGTAGTCTCGTCCCGTAAGGGATGATCTGGTGGTGTAAGGGTTGGACTTGTGACCGTGAGGTCATGAGTTCAATAGAACTTTCGAAAAGAAATGTGCACATTATTGACAAGAGTAGTCTATTTAATTCATTTAACTTATATTCAACCTCGAATAGCCTAGCACTGATCCAACTCCGGAAGTATTACAATGTAATAGATGTTTTATATACTAACAAAGAGTCCATTGGCATTTCATAGCATGGCCATTTGACGGAAATTGTTTTGTCTGCAACCTTTATGCTCAACATGCATCTGACATGTGAAACAAGAAGTGTGTTATTATATTATATAAGCAAGAGGTTTATAAAGCTTTCATCTACCTTTCTTTGCTTGTTTGAATGCTTGAACACTTAAATTAAATCTAAAATTGAATATTTAAAATATCTTAACATCCCTTCAATTGAATATCTAAAATATCTTAACATCCCTTCAAACTCAAGTGATATAATATAAACTAATTTGAGTTTGCAAAGAGAGATCGAAGATGGCGTAACCACAATCATCCGTCATGCCAGAAGTAGAAGCAGTGCCCTAAACTAAATTAGAGTCGGAAATAGACTCTCAACGGAGTAAAAAATGAGACTCTAACTGGAGTTGTAAATAACGAGACTCTCACTGAAGTCGAAAACAATGAGACTCTCACCGAAGTCTGAAACAAGGAACTCTCACCAGAGTAAAAAATACGGAACACTCAATCGGAGTTGGGAAATACAGAACTTTCACTGGAGCCAAAAAAACAACAAGATTCTAACCTAGTATCAAAATCTATTTTTTTCATAGAGTAAAAAAACAACTTATTGACCCATGTTTCTCCGTGTACATTCAACCTGGAATGTAGTTGGTATCAAGAAGTCTTGCAATTTTGAGATCATGTCCATAATTACAAGTTTGGTTGCAAATTTATCTATGAAAGTTTTCTGCGATCTGTCCGCTATATGTGTGTCTGCGATATGCATGTTTGCGTTAATATGTTGTCTGTGATATGTGTGCTGTTTGCAATCTTTCTGCTATGTGTTCTATGTCATTTTTCTATTGTTTGCAATCTGTCTACGCATATGTGATCTATCTGCGATTGACGCTAATTTCATTCAGAGTCATGTCTGCGTATTTGTCTATGATCAACCCTGACTTCTGGTCAGAGTTCTGTTTGCTTATTTATATGCAATTTATCTACTCTGATATCAATCAAAGTCATGTCTGCGTTTGATATCGATTTCGCTTAGACAAACTCAAGTTAGTTTCTAAGACACTACTTGAGTTTCAAGAGAGATATAGAAATATTTTAGATTTAAATTTTGTCTACATTAGTTTGATTGGTTTTGCTAGGTTTAGATTTTTATTTGTTCTTTTTTAAAGGGTAGATGAATGATGATTGTGATTTTAGTCTTATCGAGTATGTTTCATGGTATCTGATAGCTACAGTACCTAAAATATCGTGTTCCTAATAATAAAAACTCATGTTTGCCAATATAAGAAAAGTATTACAATTTTAATATTTATTTAAATCAGATTAAATAATTATTCAAATTCAATTATTTTATTTTATTCTTTTCATTCCTTTTAAAAGACCTACCCCATTTTCTTATTCCATTTTTTAAAAAGTATATCAAATAAAAGACTTACCCCATTTTATTCATTCCATTAACTAAAAAACCTCCACCAATTACTCATTTTATTCATTAGGTTTAAGAAAATCTACTTATCAAATAATAAAACCTTTCCAAATCTAAACCTAAATTAAAAATTAATCCTAAATTTGAAACAGAAAAAGTATTCTCTATAAAACCCTATCAAATCATAAAAAATAAATAAATATAATATCAAGAATAGGTAAATATAATAAATACTCTCTCACAGTCTCATCTCATCCATCCGCTTCGGTAAACCAAAACCTCTACAAATTCTCACTCTATTCTTCCAATCTTCCCTCAGATTTCTCGATATTCAACTCGATTTCATCGCAAATGGCCGCCTCGAGATCCCCGGCGCCGATCCTCGCCGACGAACTCGACATTGTGATCCCCACCATCCGAAATCTCGATTTTTTGGAGATGTGGAGGCCCTTCTTCCAGCCCTACCACCTGATCATTGTCCAGGATGGCGATCCGTCGAAGACAATCAAGGTTCCTGAGGGTTTTGACTATGAGCTCTACAACAGGAACGATATTAACAGGATACTCGGCCCCAAGGCCAACTGCATTTCCTTCAAGGACTCCGCTTGCCGCTGCTTTGGTTATATGGTTTCTAAGAAGAAGTATATTTTCACCATTGATGATGATTGCTTTGTAAGTTTGTATCAAATCTCGTTTTCTGGTTTTGAAAATTGTGATAGATTTGTTTGGAGTGATCTATCTGTTCATGTTGAGTCAGAGAATTAGGGTTTTGGAATTGAAATTTTGTTTTCAGAATTGGGGGGTTTTGGAAGGGATTTTTCTTTTTTTTGTAAAGCCTAAGTATTGATTTAGTCTTTGGATTGTTACATTCTTCAGAAAAATTGGCCACACTTTTCCTCATTGCTTAGTTTGACATTCATTAGATTATTGTTGATGCTTGATGAATTCAGATCTGATTTTTTTGTTGATTAGATCTAAATGTTTTGAACAAATAAATCAAAAAAATCTTTAACCTTTGAAAAGTTGAAGTCTTTAAAGCTTTTTTCTGGGGAAAAAAGGTTGCAAATTGCAATCATATCACTAAGAATTTTGATTTGAATCATTTGAAAAGCTTATAAGTCTTCACTTTATCTATAAAGTTAAGATATTTGTCTATTCACTGCTTATTGTGATTTAAAATTATTCGATAATGTAGCCTATAAATTATTTATGTTGTTTTAAAGTTTCTGTTCGTTTGGGCTTGGGATTATTTCCAGTCACAGATCATCTTTTGGTTCTTTACATGTCAGAGTAAGTTATATTCAGCTGAAAATTTGTCGATTAATGGCTAATCGTGACGGCCGAAATCTACTTTGTTTTGAAAATCATAATGGATCTAGTTTTTTTCTGCAAGAAGCAGCTCTGTTAAAAAGAGAATTGCAGAATTTACCTTACAAGGATTTTTGCTACCAAAGATGCTGTTAATAGTGTCTGATTGGAGGTTTTCGGGTCATTGGCTGATTTGGTTGTTTTGAAGGTTTACCGATGCATTTATTGTTTTGCAGGTTGCCAAGGATCCATCTGGAAAGGATATTAATGCGCTTGAGCAGCACATCAAGAACCTTCTGAGCCCATCGACTCCCTACTTTTTCAACACCCTTTACGATCCCTACCGTGATGGTACTGACTTCGTCCGCGGGTACCCGTTCAGTCTCCGCGAAGGTGTTCCTACTGCCGTGTCTCATGGTCTTTGGCTCAACATCCCTGACTACGATGCCCCCACTCAGCTGGTCAAGCCCCTCGAGCGAAACACAAGGCATAAATAAATAAATAGATAAACCCTTTATCTTGACTTATATACACCGCCATTTGGTTTGTGATGCTGATCGTTTATTTATGTTTTAAGGTATGTCGATGCTGTTTTGTCTATTCCGAAGGGCACCCTATTCCCCATGTGTGGTATGAATCTGGCCTTCAACCGGGAACTGATTGGCCCAGCAATGTACTTTGGACTGATGGGGGATGGCCAACCTATTGGACGGTACGATGACATGTGGGCCGGATGGTGCATGAAGGTAGTGATTTTGATTACTTTAGCCGTGCAATTATTGATGGATTTAAAATCTAAGTAGATATAAAATTATGCATTTCTATTCTAGTTTTAGTATTTGGAAGAATCCAATTTTTGTCTCACAAATGGCATTTTTTTTTTTTTATCATTTTATTCATTAAGTAAAGTACAGCCGTAAATGGTCCCGGTCCCGTATCTTTTAATTGTTGTTGATTGGTCCGAATTCTGCATGTGTCACTTGTCTTTCGTTGTACTCTTATTGTGTGATTGTCAACTGCCGAATTATGATGAGTTAGATACAAGATTATTTCAGGATAGTGTTCGCATGCTGCCAAAATTGTAGTTTTACCTTTATAATTTGAGTGTGTTTCGTGTTTATAGTTTTTTTTGTTGTGAGACATGAAAGATAGTAAAAGTATTATAGAAAATAATGTTTTGTGTGTTTTTATTGGCTTTAAACTTTAATTGTTATGTGTGTATATATTGTATATTACTCCAACCGTCATCTAAGTTTATGCCTACTTTTTTTTTATTGTCATAAAAAAATATTTTCATTTTTTTTCTAAGTAAAAAATACCACATTTTTTTTTATTTTTTCTTTACTATAAAAGGAAATTTTTTTTATTTTTACCCATTTTACTTATAAACTTGTGCACGGTCAAACGGGCATAAGTTTCGATGGTGGAGAGAGTATATATTATATTTTTTAGGTACTATTTTTAGGGAATCATATTCAAACACACTTTGAGTGTGTTTGTTTAATATTTATAGCTTTAGACCTTTTTTCTGTAAGGTATGAAGAATTGCGAAAATGTTGTAGAGAATTGTGTTTTCTCGGTTCTTGTCGACTTCTATTATTATGTGTACATATTGTACTTTTCAGATAATATTTTGGGGGAATTGAGTCACTCTAAAACACTAAAAGAACACACTCTTTCTATTTGACGGATCATGATTCTTTTTTCAACCTTAGGTCATCTGCGACCATTTGGGATTTGGCGTGAAGACGGGGTTGCCCTACATTTGGCACAGCAAGGCGAGCAATCCATTCGTGAACCTTAAGAAAGAATACAAAGGCATCTACTGGCAAGAAGAGCTGATTCCATTCTTCCAATCCGCGACTCTTCCAAAAGACTGCACTACAGTTCAGAAATGCTACATTGAGCTCGCCAAGCAAGTCAAGGCCAAGCTCGGTAAAGTGGACGACTATTTTAACAAGCTTGCGGATGCCATGGTCACATGGATCGAAGCTTGGGATGAACTCAACCCGGCCGGACCTGGAGCTTCCTCAGCAGTCTCCAATGGCGCCGCGAAGTAGAAAGATTATGGTTTGTGAGTTAATAATTTATTTGGCTGGATTTCTTGGAAGCATGGTAATTATTTTTCAACAGCTTTATGTTGCAACTGCGAAAGGGATTTTGATTTTCGGATGAGAGATTATTTAAGACTAGGATGGTTACCTTGTATTTTTATTACATTTATCGGTGTATTTTATATAATTTATTATTATTATTAAGATAGGCTGTTTTTCTTTAGCTCCTTTCACCCTCTTATTATTTTGAAAATGGTATTGCGGGTAAATTTTATTCCGTTGATTTGCCATCATATTTTGCTGGTGCTGCAATGTCATAGAAATCTTTTTATTTATTCTTTTTTTTTAAATTTAAAATTGACTCAAATCATAAAAAAAAAAAAATTACAAATTTTATTAACAAAAGTTGTAAAATAAAAAGTTAAATGGAAACAAAATTATTATAAACAAATTGTACTAATGACAATAATTATAGGCGGGGAGGGACTGAGAGAGTATTTTATTTATTTATTTTTTATTGTTTATAATGAATATTAATTTGTGAGAGAAAAATTTTATTGAAAAAAAATTAACTAAAATTTATTAGTCAATATTGTAAGAAACTGAATTCCTTTTTGATAAAAAAATTCCAATTTAAAAACTTGACTGCTAAATTATACTCCTTCGTCCCGGTTAGTCTAATTCAAATTTAAAAAAAAAAAAAAAACTTAAAATGAGACTAAAATATATAATTCATTTTCAAAAGAAAAGTGACAGAATAAGTGAGACAAATGTAGTAATTTTTTTTACAATTTGGTCCAATTTTGACTAAAATAAACATTTTGTTTTTAAATAAAAAGATTAAAATTTTTAAGTGTAGCTAATGTGACATCGATGTGATGTTAATATTTCAGCCATATCAATGTCACGTCGGTAATACATGATGACAAATCTGACATCAAATGATTATTTTAGCTAAATTTTTTTAATTGCATAACTGTTTTCAAATAAGATATATTTAGAATTTTAAAATGATAAAAGAGATCAATTCTAGACTTAAAATAATTTACTTTATATTATTATTATTATTATTATTATTATTATGTTTTGGTAACGTAGAATCTACAACTTCTTGCTTTGTGAGTAAAATTTTAGGTGAACCTAATAGTATACAAACTATAAAAATATAAGAATGATTTGTCTTTTAATTTGAATGATTTTATAAATTGTATTTAAGAGAGGATAAAACTAAGAGTAATTATGGGTAAAAGATTTGGCATGAACTATTTTATTTTATTTTTCAATTTTTTAATTATTAAAAGTCAGGAAATTGATGTGACTATTTCATCATGGATATAAATGTTTGAACTTTGAAGAGAAGCTGTATCGTACAATAAATAATTAAAATAAATTATGTTGTAATTTTGTTTTAAGGATTTTGTTTTGTTTTGTTTTGATTTGAGTTTGATTTAATATTTGGTTTAGATAATATTTTGGAATAATACATTTTTTAATCTCGACTTACTTGGTTTAACTAATTTTGGTATGTTTTGATGTATTTTAAAATGTGAAAAAATAAAATTTAAATATAACAAAAAATATGTTCATCAAATAGTCCTGATATTCATCCATATCAATCTCATTTAGTATATATATATATATATATGATATTTCGGTTAAATTTTTATCAAAGAACATAATTCCGATTAACGATCCATCACAAATCGAACTCATATGCCTGAGTTGCAAAATGTTCCGATATAAAATTAAAACGGTCATGCAAGTTAAGTTACTCGAAAGCTCAACTCATTAAAATTTGAAAAAATTCTGAAAAATTATAAAGTCGAATAAGGCTTAACTTAAGAAAGGCTCCATAAGTTAATAAATCAATATAGGACATATACATCACCACCTAGGGGCGGGTCCTTAATAGATAAAGGGCTCACATCCACCTAAGGGTTAGATCGTAGATATAAAACTCAAGCTCGATAAAAGAAATTTTAACTAACTCAAACCTTTTTAGTAATTATGCGAGCTTGAACTATGGCTCGATAAGTGTTGAGTTAAAACAAAACAAAATACTCCTCCCGTCTCATAAGTATAGTCTTAATTGGGTTGGACACGAGATTTAAGGAATAATGATAAAAAGTACGGATAAAAGATTTTTTTGCCCTTGTGAGTATATTAGTGTAAAAGATAGTGATAATTGTGTAATAAAAATGAAAAAGTAGGGTTAATTTTATGGTGATAGGGTTATTTATGGAAATAAGACTATTATTTTGAGACGGACAAAAATGGTAAATAACACTATTATATTAGAACGGATGGAGTACTTGATTCAATTTGGCTCGAATAAACGGGCTATCTTGTTTGCGTTACTGCTAATTTGATTCAGCACATTCAATAGCTTAGAGGCTACCATAATTCAACTTCTATAGTTATTACTTGTTTTTTAAAATACTCTCGAAATGTTATTCTAAATATCGGTACTCCATGCATCATCTACAATAGCATAATGTTTCTCCTAAATTTTCTTCAATCATTCAGACTAATTATTTCTATGAATTCTTCCAAGTTTTCACTGACCTTTTCTTGACTAATGCAGACAATAGCTTCACTCACATTACACCCTTCGGGTACCATCTGAAAACGCCGGTTCAAGCGGTAGGCTACTCGGCATTTTTGTTCAATTGGGATTCCTCTGCGTCTAGAATACCCTGTGCAGAAGAAACAACAGTTAAGTGCCAGTTGGATAGCAGCTATTCCATGTATGAATTCTCGAGCAAAAGTTTTGGGACGGACCTTAATAATCATTACGGCAGCATCCTTGTGTAAAACTTCATTGTATTCATTACAGGCAAGATTCTGGAACATCGTAACACAATTCATTCGGTCAAGCTGAATTAAGTGATGAAACAAAAATCTAGTATATTTTGAAGCTTACTTGTACGCAATTTGGGCAACCGGTATCTCCTGAGCAGTAACAAGAAGAAAGCAAATCGAAAGCAGCTGTTAAAAGCTCCACGAATCGAGGTTGAAGCTGGAAAGGATTTATAATATTTAGAAAACAAAAAGCTGTGAATGCAACTGATGAATCGCTTAACAATAATAATACCGAACAAAAGTTTTTTAAAAGTAATTGGATGATAAACAAAACAAAAGTTGCATTCTTCATTATATAACTAGTCGGATTGTAAAACCCTTTCAATTCCTCAAATTCCGATTCTCCATCCAATCCACTCAAAAGATTCCGATGAATCCATGGTGGATTGAAGCAGGAGGACTGGTCACCACATCGAGGGAGAAATGCCTACACCTTCTCTCTTTACTTTCACCACATAAATGCATACTGGTGTTCAGCCAGTAGCTGTTCACAATTCTCAGCATGGCGACCACCATGGAAGAATGTTGGGATACAGAATAAGCTTACTCTTAGGGGATGAAGTTATTCATTTTGATGATTATATATATATTTTTAATAACGTGAGAATTCATATCCACTACTTGTCGAGTGCTCATGGGGTAAACCCTCATGTTGAATTGCAAACCACGCCATCCAGGTAAGCTACACTAAGCAAAACCTATGTGACAAGCTCAATTAATAAGGCGTCACCAGGCACCATACCACACTAAATTGGCCACCTCTTACAGGCCGAGTTGACAATAACATAGATTATTAGCCTTATAATAAATTCCAACAGACAAATAATTGAAAACCGAAAGAAGTTAAAAAAAAAAAAAGAAAGCATAGGAATGAATAATATACAACATGTCATAATTTACCTTTAATGAAATTCCCGTGCCTCCGGGATGAGGATCATAAAGTAGAACTCTCTCAGGAACATATCGGTCATCATGAGGATTTGCACACTCTGAAGCTAAGTCAGATTGGTTGCATATAACAAATCTACAAAAAATTACACACGAGGAAGACAAACATCAGATGTGCTATAAGATTACACTGAACAGAAAACATCTCAAGTTACCAGTTATTCAGCAAACGACAAACTAAGTTTCTTAAATTGGAAAGCAACTCGACAATTCTAATTCAAATGATGCAAATGCTGAGAGCTCACAGAGGAACGACATTAAGAAGAGCATGTCCAGCAGCATGTAAGCCCCCACGAAAGGAATACTGTAAATTCTCAACAGCTGTCTTTACTGATTGTGGGACCCGAATCCAAACAGCCTATTATCAAGAATATGCGTAAGTGGAAAAAAGAGAAGAGAAAGACGAGGATTGCACTGAACTATAGTAAAAGAGAAACTTCAATACGAGATGCACTATACAGTTGATCTTTGCTATTTTGTACCTGTGATTCGTAAGAGTAATCAGGTAGGGAAAGTTCAACACTGTCGAAAACCTGGCTGGTTTTCTTCCATATACGGCGGAAGCCAAACCATGTGGTTGTTACTTTGCAGGTATTTGCTTGGGCACTTGTTCTTGAACATTGTTTGCCAGCAATTCTTGCTGGATAAGCCTGTATTTTAGACAGACAAACAATTAGTTCAAAGAGTAGGGTAAAAAATATAAGGACATGTCCTATAAATAAGCTTATGATTGAATTTTAATAATTCGGAGAATTTTTTATTTCAACTGAAAACATTTACATAAAATTCAAGTGTTACATCCAAAATGGGGAAGGAAAGGAAAATACAGCTGACATACAAGTAGTGGAGGTTAAGAATGGAATTAAAATCAAAAGCCAATATGTATGTGTGTGTATATATATATATTATATATAACTTGTGAGGAAACAAGTGAAGCTCATGTAAACCACAACTTCAATTTGACTCTTCAATGCATCTTGAAAAACAAAATGTGTGAAATTTTTCAATTTCGATCATGAAAGCCAACTTGAATCTTCTATTTATCTTCTTCCATAAATATTTTCACACTAAGTATAATCAGACTCTGAAACATGCTTAAAAGATTGCTACGAATCCTGCTCTTCGAATCCAGAAAGTGTTTTTCGCATGGAACCCTAAAATGACAATATATGTTAACAATGGGGTGAAGTAATATGTTGAAAACTGTTAATCAACTTACGTAAGGTGCAAAAATGAACACTTAAAAACAGAGAGGAGCTTTGAAACTGTTACATACAATATTGCCGCCGATTACATGGATATCTGTGTAATCACGAGTTTTTGTATAATAGTTCAGATCAGCTTGCTGGCACCAAGCAATTTTACTTGACAAATCTAAGTTCTTTACAAGATATGTTTTGGCTTGATTCATATAAACTGCACCTTCATAAACCTGCAACATATACAAGCATCAGAATGTACACACTCCTAAAAGATCTGTCAAATGTCAATGCCAGGTCAGGACAGAAAATTTATCAAAATACCAACAAAGTCTCCTAAAGTGGTATATTTTTGCAGAAGAGATAACCATCTTCTAAAGAACATTTGCAATATTGCATGGAACAAAATGTATGTAATATAATTAAAACCTACATAACAATGTGAACTTTTAAACCTTGTTTATTCACCTCAATATTGGGGTATTATTTGAACTGCTTATTTCAAATGAACTTTTGAATGAGTAAATACAAAAAGCACATGACATAAGATATAAAGATATAAATGAAATCTCTGCACATCTCAAGTTCATTTTATGTTCCTATTCTAGATATCCCAACATATGGCTTCATCTTCTTGTTCGAAGATCTTTTAAATCACTCAGATGATTAACAAAACAGAGAAGATCCTAGCATTTTGACGAAATATATACTTATACATATCTGGTTACTAATTCATGCATTTCCTCAGATATGGATACTGATGCTCATGCTGATAAATAGATGATGTATTTTTACATCTAAAAGGGCAAGGTAAAAATATCCTACCATGATGACAAAGGTTGGCAGATTACTGCATTGTTCTCACCTGAAAGAAAGCTTTGCTTTCCTCAATTTCTTCAAGGACTTCATTCTTTGTCATTTCAATTACTTTATACCGCTCAGTTTCAATCGCTCTAACATTGACAACACCTGCTGGAGATTTCTGAAAATGCAAACAAATTTCGATTGAGGCTTGGAAAGTAACCTAGAATCTCAACACAAAAATGCATTTCTACGTATAAATATGGGCGGGCTAGTAAGATTCAAAATGGGATAAGTATATTATAAGAGTTGACAAGGCTCTTGATGTGACTACATTATATGAGTTGACTAGGCTCTTGATGTAACTATATTATAAGAGTCGACAAGGCTTTTGATGTAACACAAAAAACTAGAATATGACGAAGATCAACATCCATGCTCAATATAGGCAGAGATCCATAAAGCTTTGGAATTATGAATTTCGAATACACACATAGGAAATACCTCATGCCCAATGTAGGCAGAGATCCATAAAGCTTTGGAAGTATGAATCTAGAATACACACATAGGAAATACCTCATGCCCAATGTAGGCAGAGATCCATAAAGCTTTGGAAGTATGAATCTAGAATACACACATAGGAAATACCTCATGCCCAATGTAGGCAGAGATCCATAAAGCTTTGGAAGTATGAATCTAGAATACACACATAGGAAATACCTCATGCCCAATGTGGGCAGAGATCCATAAAGCTTTGGAAGTATGAATCTAGAATACACACATAGGAAATACCTCATGCCCAATGTGGGCAGAGATCCATAAAGCTTTGGAAGTATGAATCTAGAATACACACATAGGAAATACCTCATGCCCAATGTAGGCAGAGATCCATAAAGCTTTAGAAGCATGAATCTAGAATATACACATACGAAATACCTCATGCCCAATGTAGGTCCATATTCTGGAAGCACAATCACGAGAGATGTCAGTGCTCAAGCAACCTTTGTTTTTAAGTATTGTAATAGCACCTTCTAAGCCAGGCCCAAAATACTTTTCATCGTGAAGCAAACTTAATGGGTGCTCAAGAGCTGCGCATGACAAGTGCTGCTGAAGCACCTACAAGGGAAAGCATTTCGAGGATGAAACAGTGGCCAGAAACTAAAATCATATCCTTTAACCTTGATTCTGATATGAATGAAACAAGCATGTCTTTGGGCATATGTATATAAACCTGGTCATTAGTTGGATCAACATGGCAACACTCAATTGAGCCCCTAAAAAGTTTATGAGGAAATTTCATAAAGTACTGATCTAAAGGCCCTTCAAATGCAACATAAATAGCAAGCGAGGGCTTTTCTCTTCTTCCAGATCTCCCAGCTTGTTGCCACAAACTGCATCAATAAAATGGAAGGAGAACATGAAAATCAATTTTGTATAGAATCAACAACAATAAAGGATACATTAAAAGGAACAAAAAAATAAAAAAAAAATAAAAAAGGAAAAGAGAAAAGAGGAAGCAGAAGAAGTTACATATGGAACTGAAAAAGATGCAGATACACTGCAAATACCTTGCAATGCTACCAGGGAACCCGAGATGCAGTGTGACATCAATGTCACCTACATCGATCCCTAATTCAAGGGCATTTGTTGCCGCAATACCGCATATGTTGCCATTGAAAAAATCACTCTCGATTCTTCTCCTGTCCTGTTCCCACCAGAAATATAAAGTTAACAATCTAAGATACTATGGTGGGCTAAATTGAAAATCCTAATGTATCACCGTCACTCAGAAAAATTAACACACCACTTGCATACACACACTACCAAGGAAATACTATTAGTCTCACCATGTGTCTGAACCTCGCTTGCAGATTTAGTAAGGTAATGGCTTAAACAAATGGAATAGCCAGTGCAATATAGAATCTTCCTTACATATGAGAGAGCACGAAATGTGAAGTTTCATTATAATTGAATAAATTTATTAGACAAATGCAAGATACTATAATATGCACACAAAATTGTAATTTTTGGAATTATTGGAAAAATAGATCCTGCCAACAATGAACATTCATATTTGCAAAAACTAATAATACTATCGTAGCATAAAATTTTTCCTACTTGCTTGATGGTTCTCACTCCTCCAACCAAATATAAATTAAAAGTTAAAGGCACATCCTCATGTATATTTTCCAAAACGTGCAGAGATGCATTTAAACTGAAAGTGACATCTGCCTAGATCCCGCTAGAGCATTTTGGATTGGAAAGTGATGTAATGTCAATACATCTGAAATTAACTAAAGAAGATACTATATCTTTTTCAAAGGAAACAACCTACATTTGAACTTATCCCAATTGAAGTACAGCCATATATGCAGCACGTAACTTTTGTCTACTGCAAGACAGATGGACAGGCTATAGCTTCGAAGGTGTGTTCTTTTTGTGTTTCAAGTGTTTTGGTATTTGTGTTTTTATGTGAAATAGTTTTTCGATGCAATGTTTTGTATGGAAAACGGGTATATTTTTATTGAGAACAGTATGATTGCATAGTAGATAAAGAAAAAAAAATATTAAAAGATAACAGAGCCTTAGGTTTAACAATTTTGGACACAACTCCTAAAAACTCAATACAAACTTAGTGCAGAGAAATGATTCAGATTTAGCCTTGGTGGATACGGGTTAAGTTCGGGTTGAACCTGGTTGACATGCCAAAGAAACAGGTCAGGCTTATGCTAAACCTAATTGATCTGTATAACCCCTGCCTAAATTATACATTTATATCTTGTTCTGATAAGAACAAAACAAAAAGCTATAAACTTTTAAAGATAGAACACGATGAAGTATACAATAAGACTTCAATACTACAGTACCCTTCACCTCCAGAGAAAACTCAAGGAAAAAAGTGAATTCATACAGAGCAGTATGAATCGGTTGGAAATCAAGTATGGATGCAATATATGAACCGAGAAACAAGGGCATAAAATCTGATAACGGGAGCTCAAGAGAAGATATTCCAGCAGTACAGGTTAACATTATAGATGCTCTTACTTGTGTTCATATCTATAGTCCTAAACATTAATGTGCGGAACAAGTGTATATCTTTGGTGTTCAGAATGAAAAAATATTCTGGTAAAGACAGACAACAAAACTCTCAACAATAGCTGATATTAGCAAGAGAGACAACTTATGGTTTGTTGACAGAGTGCTGACAAGTGTAGAAACCCAAGAAATCAAAAAGTCAATTTAGTATTAGTTATATGTACTTATCCATAAACATGAGATGTCTGGGCTATAATAGAGTCAAGTAATAAAAATAAAACAGTAACTGAGACCTTATACATAAGTTGAACACCTTAAATCCATGAAAAATTATAAGACTAACCTCAGCAATATAACCTCCACGGTAAGAATATACTTTGTTCATCAGATGAGGTGCTGATTCATGAAGAATTTCACGCCTTTTTACAATCAAATGCATTAAGGGTTATTATTTCCATAAATTCAAGATAGAGTAGGACAATAATTTGATTATGTGTTACCAATAAGAAAACAATAATTTCAGAAATGAGGTTACATACGTGTAGCTGAGAACGAGTTCACAAAGTTTGCGTGTTTTGCAGAATGCGATGCACCTTAACCCATGCTGAACTATTTCAGCAAAGAGGCTTGAAACCTCTAAAATAGGGCTGCAAAAGGATAAAGATCATATCAGCGACATCAAAATATATTCTTCAAACATGAGCGTGTAAACATATGGATTTGTTAATTCTAATGCATTTAAACATCCCACCAAGCATCGAGCCTATCATTTAAACTTAAAGAAATTATATCAGCAAGCATGATTGATATTTTGAACCACATCTGATGCTTTATTATGCACTATGATATCTAGATAGGTCTGATTCAAATTGACCTCAATAGCTTGATTTTCAAAAAATATTATTTTGATGAACTCAGTTATTTAACAAGGTGATCATGCCTTTGGTACATTTTGGATGCAAGAAATAGGGTTTACTATTCACATTATTGTAATTAAATATATTTATTCTTTATCTTTTACTGATCTTTACTAACTCTAAGGTGTACCAAAGGCAACATTGTCTCTCGTCTCATAAGTTTCTCAGTTCAAAAGGCAATTCACTCCCGTCATTAAGGTCATGCCCTACAGCATGAGATATATTGATGAGAAGGTGGACCCTTGTTGCACAAGGACATTAAAATCAACAAAAAACATGGAATTGGAAAGTGCTATAGAATTTTGCAATCAAATTTGTCTACGAACAGTTTAAATATAAGGAGTCTACATTGTCCAGGACCATACAAATGATACATGCTCACCTTGATCGACCTGGAACCACACTTTTAGTAACATTCTTTTTTGACTTATTGCTCGTCTTTACTCTCTTCCAAACCTTGAAGATGGAATCATTGAAATAATGCATGAAGGTGCTAAGTATTGGTTCTATCTAATTTGAATAGAATGGAATTTGAGAGACAATAAGCAGAATCTCACATTTTTCAGGCACAAAGGAGGATTCCAGAGCATAAAATGCTTCAAACCAGAAGGGCTGCCATCATGGTTTATTAATCCAACTGTCGATAGATTTGCCAGCTCCTGTTATCAGTGGTGAGAACAAATCAAGGTATAATGCTGCTATTGTGTAATCAAGTAGTGAATAGATTGTTCGTACGTATTGAGAAAAAAAAATAAAATCTTTCAGATTAACACGGGTGTTCCATTGGTTGTTAGCTCAATTGTTTTAACATCTATGCTAAGATGGTAAAAGACCCAGGGAAACCATTTACATGCAATGCCATAAACTATGGAACTCAAAGTTCATGCTAAATATGTCCTTAGATACTATAAGAAAATAATGACACACCATAGCATGCTCCTGGGGGTTTGAAGAAGTTGCAGTGCTGAATATAAATGAAGGCTCACTGCTGTAAACTGGATATGAAGTCAGTAGCGAATAGTAAGATATCATACCCCCATTTTAGGCAAAAAATGCACGACAAAAAGAAATCACCTGCCAGTAGAACTAAGAACTAAAGGAACATACCATGAGAACAGATTCGTCGAAGCCTTCTAAATATTAGAGAAGCATGACAACCAAAGGTTCCCTTGTAAGTATGAGCTTCATCAATGACAATAAACCTGTCTCAAAAAACATAAAACATAAGTGATAACAAACTGAATGGAATACTAGATTTCCTACTGAGAAAGAGGAAACTGAAGAAGACTAAGAAATTCAATATGATGTGAGAGAGATATGCAACAAGAAAATTACTTGACATTGGCCAATATTCGTCTAAATTGTCCATGAAATGGCAAGATTGAGATGTGTAGCATGTCTGGATTCGTAATAAGCTGCACAAGTTGGGGAAAAAATAATTAACACAAAAAATAACTGCCCTCTTAGAGCAACTATGTTTTCAAAGAATTATCATACCAGACGTGCATTATCACGTAACCATAGTCGATCTTCCTGAGAAGTGTCTCCATCATATATCCCAACATTTAAGCTATCATCAAGCCCGTGGCTGAGAGTCAACAAAGCACGGTACTGATCTTGAGCCAACGCCTGGAAGTAAGATGAGGCAATTAAGGAGTCTATAACTAGAACCAAAGAAAATTTCAGTGCCACTGGCATAATCTAATTGAAACAAATACAAGTCTTAAAAACATGTGGATATGGGGCAGCAAACCTTTGTGGGGAACAGATAGAGAGCACAAGCTAATGGATCATGTGATAGTACTTCTAAAACCGGAATATTGTAACAAAGTGATTTTCCACTGGATGTCATGGTTGCCACAATTACATTTTTCTCAGCAAGAGAGGCTTGAATTGATTCAGCCTGTACATTGTAAGCACATGCAGGAAAATGAGATGGATTGGCATGGATGCAAATCACGGTTAAATACAATTTTTACCTGGTGACTGTACAATCTAGTAATTCCTGCACGATTAAGTGCACATTTCATTTTTGCAGAAAGATGGCAAGGAATCTCCACATACTTAGCATTGCGAGCATTGATCTTTTCAATATGTACGACCTACACCAAACATATCTTTAGCAAAGTTAGTACATTAGAGATTACACAAGAATGCCATACAGGTGAGACTTCAAGTTTATCATCAATGGAGCCAAAACAAGAAAGGGGTGAATTGATATGAGATATTAGCTGCAAACTAAAAGACCTGTCCTTGAGATCCTATGCCATTTCGCAGATGCTCCACCATTTCGTCAACATTCAATGTCTTTGTATCCTGCTTATTAGTGACTAACAATGTCAGCATGTAAGTGATAGCTATAATGTAAAAACGCAAGCAACAAAAAATGAGTGGAACACATCAACACCAGTCTAGAACCTTAATTAATATAGTTAAATCCCATTTCCAACAGATTTCACTGCTTAAACAACTGTCATAACATGATGACTGTTATACGTAAATTTTCCATTACGCTTACCACAGCTTTTTCTATATTGTTCCAGACAATCGCACAATTATTTAACAGTGTTTTGTATATATATACATTTGATAATGTAAAATTATGATGTTTAGCAACAACAAGACCAACAATCAATTCATGACTTACATGACACTGTACAGGTGGTTGGGAGCTTGAAGTAGCAGAATATCTTTTCCTCTCTTGTTTCATGTCAGCTTTGGCCATAGGAGCATCAACAGTCTTGAGAGAAACAAGAAGATTTTCTAAAGAAAAAGACTCTAAAACCCCTGTTCCATTTTTTAACTGCATAATAACCCAAAATATTCTTGTAACTAGCATATACAGATAGAAACCATGACGTGAGATTGTCATTTCTTTGTTAGCAACTCAAAATTCAGGTATCATTACTTCCTCAGCCCCAACTTGAATTAAGAACAAAAAGATTGAAGGTAACATATCCACACAGCAACCAAATACTTGGAAATCAAAACAAGGGATAAATAGATGATCATCCAATTGAATTTCTTCCAGGTGATCTTTCTTCCACCCTTCTTTGTTTGGCTTTAAGGAAAGGTTCGATGAACCTATACAGCCAAGGTTCTCTAAAATGTTTGCTCAAATTGAGGATTGCCTATTTCCCAGTAAACACAGCTCATTCACTGCACGATCAGGAATTGGATACACTTCCTTCTGGTGATGCACTATAATTAGTCAAATCACAATACAATCAAAGCCATGAATGTTGAGCTTTGTATAGGACAGATAAAATAAAACTCTTTCAAAAAAACTCAATAGACTTTCAAAGAATGCCTAACCAGTTTAATTAAAACTGTTGCCAAACAATTTTCAATAGTTACAGGGTCTTAACTTTTGAAAGGTTTGCAATTTAAGCCACATTTCAAACAAGTGCCCTGTGCATTTGTAGTTTTATAAGTCAGTTAAGTAATACATTGCCCTCCAAGAACCAAAAATTAGAGTCTACACAAAGCTTCTAAGTAAAATCACTCTACCAATGATTGTGAAGGGAAATACGATTCTAATTATTTCTTAATTGTACAAGTCTACAATATATATACAAATGAATACATAAAATACCTAAAAAGCCCCTACACTATTCTAAATACCAAAAAGGCCTACATACAATATATTCAATACTACCTTCAAATTGGAGAATACAAATCATATGATTCAAGTTTGTCGCACAAAAATTTGATTAAGGGGCCTTTAAGGTATTTGGTGATTATATCTGCAAGTTGATCATTTGTAGCAACATGATGGGTAGTGTTACATTTTGAGAGAAATTTCTAAGATTTGTATTAATAATAAAATTAAGATCTATTTATAGTCCTTATACAAAAGGATACAATTAATAATAACCTAATCTAGTAGATATATTTAAATGAAATATATTTTTCTTTTAGTAAAAATGCTCCAACATTCATAAAGCTTACCTAGGGTCGGGAATGGTGGATGAAGACGGAAATTGGCGGGAATGGCAAACCAATAGAGAGAAAAGGGAGAAAAAATTGCAGGAACAGAAAGCAGTTAGGGTTGTATTAATAAGATTTAAATGGGGAAAATAATGGGTTGGGTCAAATAAAAGTAATTCTAGGTCAAAGTCACTTGAACGCACTATTTGGTGTCACCTTGGCTTCATGTATTTGCCAAAGTGATACCTGGACACCGGCCTCGCCAAACAGCAAGGTGACTTTTCCTGGCGGTGATGGTGCACCGCGAGGACGCCAAGGTGTCAAGCAACACCGTGACAACCATGGTACTTAGTATTAAAGATGCTTTAAACCAATCCAATGAATGCTTGCTATCAACTTGCAAGTATTGCGATTAATTTTAAGGTTACACAATGTAGGAATTATTTCTACATAGGGATTATAAGGTCCTACGGTTGTTTAAACAATTTGTTATGGTTTAGTATTATATATCAATTAATACTTTGATACCGAAAAATCTTTAATCCCAAAAAATCAGTCTGGCTACTGTTGTTCCATAATTAGAAGAAATAAGAATGAGTTTCATAAGGGATGGCCCGGTAGTGTGGTGGTGGACTCGTGACCGTGAGGTCATGGGTTCAAATCCCGACGCCTTCAGATCTTTTGTGACTTGCATTGTTGGGCCTAGTTTGCAAGCTATTAAGTTTGGCCAGAAATTTGCCCGGATGCGAGTTTTCACATTATCCAAAAAAAAAAAAAAAAAACAGAAAAACGAATGGGAAATTGGAACTGTGGTGGCTGACCTGAAGAGATTCTATTTTATTTTTCCTTTTGATTGTTATTATTTTGTCTGAGTTATTTAGAAATTTATTGATTTTGTTGGGTCACATATTGTATTGGGATCCCTTGATGATAGTAGAAATATTTCGGTCTCTACTCGTGGATGTAGGATTTATTCCGAAACACATAAATTATGTCTCTTTAATTTTCTTCCTAAAACATCTTCAATACTAAGCACTTAGCCTCAGGTGAAATTATGTGACAACCGATAATGAGATTCACTTGAATCCAATCTTCTCCAAAGTCATATATAGAAAGTTCAAATCCTTCGGCAATTGAGATCCATTCTTTAATGGTAGTTCCTTTTCAATCTTGAGTGATACAATATACTAAAAACAAAAACAATATTAATAATAAAATAGGTTTACAACATTCTCACAGTTGATGTATGTTCAGCATATTCAAAAGAGTATATAAGCATGTAAGTACTGCTAAATAACTGAATAGTTACACTCTTGTTATCTTAGAAGGAAGGTCGAAAATATCCTCCCAAAATAAGAAAAAAAATGCCATAACACTTAGCTAATAATGGAAAACTACCAAAACTTGTACAAAAAAGAAATGTGCTGAAACATTTGGTCAAATGTGGACCTGATTAGGATTAAACCAACAAACTCCATTTCGAATAGTCCTTATTCGACATATTTTCAGATAAAATGAAATCTGGTGTCGATATGCTTGCTTCGGTCATGAAACACAGGGTTTTTCAATAGGGTAATGGAAAATTTGTTGTCGACGAACAACTTCACTGGCTTGAGTTCATTCTTGTTTTGTCAATTCCCCCGGTAGACTCAGCCACAACATTTGGCATGGTGCTGTAGTTGTTTCCATGAACTTAGCTTCGCACAATGATAAGACTACTGTCTTATACTTCTATGAGTTCCATATCACAGAGAATTGTTGACATTGAACGTCATGCCTTCAATTTTTTTTCTTGTATCTATGTCTCCTACTATACGAGTACCCAATGATGGCTTTCTCAACTCTTTCTTTATTGTAGATAAGTACAAGTTGACTTGTACGCTTGAGATATCTCAAAACTTGCTTCACAGTCCTATAGTACATGGTAGTACGTCTTTTTATGAACCTACTTGCAATGCCAGTTGTGTGCGATAGATTTTGATAAGTGTGCAGCAAGTACTTTAAGCATCCAACCACTCATCGGAATTTAGTTGGATTCAAAGGCTCTCTGTGAGGGTCTTTGTGTAGCTGCGCCTTTGGCTCCGTTAATATTCAGTTGTGTTCCACTCGGACATACCGAAGTGCATTTTTTTATGTAGCTAATTAAGGGTGATCTAACTTTCCTCTTGCGCCACTTTTATCCTAAGGTAGAATGTGAGTAGTCCAAGATCGCTCATCTCGAATATGGACTTCATCTACATCGTAAACAAGTCAATCTACTTCAAACTTTCTCCTATGACAATTAGATCATTGACATATATAATGATAATGATACTTGATTGTCCTTCCCTTTTGGTATACACAATTTGTTCTTGTGCACATTTTGCACATTTTGTGAAGCCAAGTTGTCTAAGGTTCTTCTAGCTATACATTTCCTGTTTATAGTGCTTGTTGAACGAGAAGCTTTGGTTGACAAAAAATGGCTAAGCACATGCAACATGAAGCCTTGTTGACTTGCCACCTAGAGATATACCTATAGGATTGAAGTGGGTATATAAGATAAAGAGAAACTCCAACGGCAAAGTGGTTAAGCAAAGGCAAGACTCATTGCGAAGGGATATGTCCAACAATAGGAGGTGGATTTTGAAGAAGTGTTTGAACCAGTGGCCATTTATAAGGTATGCGTTATCCTTACCATTTCTGCCAATCATGGATGGAAAGTATATACCCCGACGTGAAGTCAACATTCCTGAACGGAAAGCTTGAATAAAATGTGTATGTGACACAACCAGAGGGTTCCTTGTGACATAATAAAGAGCATCAAGTGTACAAGCTGCACAAGCATTATACGGACTTTGACAAGCACCACAAACCTGGAACGTACGGCTGGACAGAACCTTGAGACAACTTAGCTGTACAAAATGTGCACAAGAATATACTGTATATACTGATCAACTATTATTTCGGTGTATATGTCGATGATTTGATTTTCACAAGGAAATATGTCCGAATTCGAGATAAGTGGTTTTGGACTACTCATATAGAAATAGTGCAAGAAGTTCATATCAATCTCAAGCAATCAACATACACAAAGAAAGTGTTAGACTCAGCATGGCAGAGTGCAACGGGGCCAAGATACTCATGGAGCCAAAGGCTCAGCTATACAAAGACCCCGACAGAGAGACAGTGGTTCCAACTTAATACTGACAAATGGTTAGATGCTTAAGTTACTTGCTTCACACCCTCGATCTCGCCATCTATTGTCAGTTCAAATCTTTGACAACATTGTTCAAGATCTATCATACGTACTTAGCATTGCAAGTAGGTTCATGGAAATACCTACTACCAAGCACTACCAAGCTGTGAAGCGAACTCTGAAATATCTAAAGTGTACAAATTACCTTGGGACTTATCTACAAGAAAGAAAGAGCCGAGGAATCGAAGGCATGACATTCTATGTCAACAATTTCCTTGGCATAAACTCACAGAATCAGAAGATCGTAGCCTTATCATTGTGCGAGCCAAGTTCATGGCACAATCGTGACACCATGCCAAGTGTTGTGGCAAACAAGTCTATTGGGAGAACCGAAAAGATAAGAACTCAAGCCAGTGAAGCTTTCTGTCGACAACAAATTTGTCATTGCTCTAATGAAGAATCCGGTGTTTTATGGCCGAAGCAAGCACATCGACTTCAAATTTTATTTCATCCGAGAATGTGTCGAACAAAGACAAATCAAAGTAGAGTTCATTCATGCAGAGGAGCAATGAGCCGATGCACTAACAAAGTGTTTGCTAGGAATACAACTAGCAATGAAAGGACATTTGATGGCTGTACGTGACCTTGGACTGCACCAGGATTAAAGGGGAGTTTGTTTCATTCCGACTAAGTCCACATTTGACCAAATATTTCTGCACATTTCTTTTTTGCACAAGTTTTGGTAGTTTCGGTTTTCTATTATTAGCTAAGTTTTGTTGTATTTTTTTTGTTAGTCTAGCTTATCCATCCACTCCAACACTATAAATATTTGTGCTGGCTTAGTTTATTAATCATTAGTTCAGTTGCTGAATAATACACAACAATGTTTTGTCTTCTGATTCACTTTGCGTCTAATCTGCATTGTCCTCTAACAAAGAATTGTTAGTTTGGTTAGGTTTTAATCTAAACCCCACATGACCACCAATCTCTCTCCTCCGTCCCTTCACTTTATTACTCATATTCTCTCCATAATAATTGCTCTCCACACCACCTTCCATCTTTGATTCTTAATGGTTTCCTATATCTCCACGTGTTTTAGGATAACTTTGCTTGTGCATAATCATACTCCTAACCTTGACAAGTTGTCACTTTGAGCGGTCAAATATGTTTTCCTTGGCATACACAAAAAAGAGTTAGGTGCTACAATCCTACTACTAGGCATCTATACACATTTGCTGATGTCACATCTTTTGGAGATAAATCTTTATTTTCTAGTGTTTCTCTAGTCACTTGAGTCCACTTTCTCTCTTTACTCTCATGTATGTTACTCCTTCCCTTTTAATTAAAATGTATGCACGTCGTAGGGATCTCTTGCCATTTGTTTCTAATAGTTCATCCACTTCACCTATCTCTAAATCTACAAGTCCTGTAGCAATGGGTCATGTCGAAACTAAGCTCTCTGATCCTATTTCCCCCGGAAAAAGTACTCGGTCATGCATTTCTCGTCCTATTAGTGATTTTGGTTCATTTGATCACCTTGCTCCGAGTCTTCATTGTTCTGTTGTATCACTTCCATCCGTGCATATTCCCATATCTTATTATGAGGTCTTTCCAAGCTGCAATGGATGAAGAAATGTCTACTCTTCTTTCTCGTGGTACTTGGGACTTGTGCCCCTCTTACAAACATGGATGATGTTGGCTGTCGTTAAGTATTTACCTTTAAGTATTGGTCTGATGGTGGCATTGATCATTATAAAGCTCGATTGGTGGCTAAAGGTTACACTCAAACCTATAGCGTAGATTATTTTGAGACATGTTCCCTAGTAGAATGTTTGATTCTGCCCACATTCTATTTTGTTTGGCTGCAAATAATGGCCGGAAAATGTGCCAGTTGGATTTAAAGAATGTCTTTCTACGGTGATCTTAAAAAAATTATTCATGGAGCAACCTCCCGGGTACGTTGTTCAAGGAGAGCAGAAGCATATGGTTTTTAGGCTTCAAAAAGCAATTGTATGGTCTAAAACAAAGTCCTTGGGTGTGGTTTGATCAGTTTAGCCAAGTGATGAGCACATGTAGGTTCAATCAATGCAAATCAAATCATTAAGTATGTGAGACATCGAATGAGTGGCATTACTGTTCTTGTTGCATATGAAGATGACATACTTATATAAGGAGATGACTTAAGCAGTGTTAGAAAGTGTGAAAAATTGTCTTCAAAGCCACTTTGTCACAAAAGACATAAGCATCCTAGAGATATTTTGGGAATTGAAATAGGTCATGGAAAATATGGGATTTTATTATCCCAACGCAAGTACACCCTAGATTTTCTTAGTGATACAGGGCTACTTGGTGTTAACTAGTTGACATACCGAGAATGGGTCTAACTTATGGGATAACTCACGTAACGATTTTCAAAAAGATAAATTAAAATATAGAAGACTTGTTAGGAAGCTAATCTACTTCACCATTACTAGGCTGACATTTCCTATCCCATTGGAGTACTAAGCTATTTATGGCGAGACCTCGCAGAGCTTATTGGAAAGTTGCTTTTCAAATATTGAGGTACATAAAAGGGCACTTCGCAAAGGTCTGTTGTTTTAGAGCAATGGACGTTTGAGCGTAGAAGCTTACTCTGATGCTGATTATGCTGGAATAAGAATGACCGGAAATCTACTACTGGTTATTGCACTTATTTGGTAGGAAAGCTTTGTGATATGGAGAAGCAAGAAACAATCATTGCTAGCTCGATCTAGTGATGGGGCAGAGTATAGAGTAATGTCTTATACTATCAGTTAAATGATATGGTTTTTGAAATCTTCTAGGAAAGCTAGGGTTTGACTAGCATGAACCTTTTACAATGCGTTGTGTCAATAGAGCTGGAATCCACATTACAAGTGATCTACTCTTTCATGAACGAACAAAATATATAGAAGTTGACTTTCACTTTGTTCGTGAGGCAGTCTTGAGTGAACAAGTTATCACTCTGTTTACTCTTTCTATGAAGTGGTTCTTGTCCTCACTAAAGCACTAAATGTCAAACAATTCCAAGAGTTATGTAGCAAGCTGAGAATGCATGATTTTTACTCTCTAGGTTGAGGGGAGTGTCAGTATGTATTCTAGTATTAAATATTTTAGTATTAAATAGAATAAATGTATCTTAAAATAAAATATTTGATTCATTGTAAGTACTGTACTCAATTCATTGTAAATTAAATATAGAAAGTAAATCTTTTTTTTCCTCTCTTTGACAAAACCAATTTAGCATGAATGGAAGCCATTATACCAAGAGCAAAACAAGGTTTATTGACTCATTAACAAAAAATTCTCATAACAGTCTTACGGAAGGAATTATATAGAGAAGGGAATTAATTCCATTTATCAAAAATACCCATTATCACTGACCATGGAACAAAAAGAGAAAAAGAAAAAAATCAGCACAAATGTACCATTAATGACCTTATTGCCTCTGACAGGACAGCTTTGAAGGAAGAATCCCTTTTCTTCACTGACTTCATTACCTGAGACCTATGTGGCCGCTTAACAGCTTCCAAGAAAATCCAAAATGTAGAAGATAAATTGATGGACAAGGATAAAAGAAAAACATTGGGAAGTTAAACTGAACATGCGTTGAGGGAAAGTACCCATTATTGGGTCATCTTCATGTTGATTGCATTTCTCTGCTGATTCTTTGATTATAACAAGGGAGTTGACATCATGTAATTTTGTTTCCTCTGTGTAAACAATCCGCACTATCTGAAATAAATAAGAACACAGTACACACGTGCTTAGAATAGGATTTTCCATATTACAACCTCTTAAAAATAATCATTTATCTCACAAAAGAATGAAAACAGCTTTAGAAACTAATGGAGTTTGGTACTGAAATGTAAAAGACGAGTAACATGGAAGAAGGAATATAACAACCTGAGGACAAAGTTGAGAGAGAAGCTCTAAGTTAACAGTGCTACGTTGAAAGCCAACTTTATGCAGTTGCTCAAGTGGTCCTTTTAGTGCATCAGCCGTAATCTTCTTCTGGCACATCTGAAGGCATGCTGAGTAAACATTTATAAAAGAGAAGGCCATGATTATGCCCTTCAACCACAGCGGACAAAGGCACATAGTAGCTGCAGAAGGAGCTAACTCACTGCTCAATGTATCACTAGCTTCCCTCAGCAAACAATAACCTGTTGCTAGATTACTTAAACAACATGAAGACTCCATAAGCTTCAAAACCTTTTCAAATTTCTGTTCATCAAACGTATTATCAAGATATGACTGTAAAATGCCAAATAAAACATCATCTGAACATCCCAAGTCCTGGCCATCATTCAACACTTTCTTCCCTTTCGTCTTCCTTGAAGAGATTCTCCTACCATGGTCTTTCTCATTTTCAGAATTAACAGACTTCAAGTCATCCACAGGTGGATTTTCATGGGTAGATATTTCTTGAAAAGATGAGAGATCTTGCATCAAATCAGACCAAGATGACCGAGCTAATTCACTCTCTTTCTCATCGAGTTTTGGATCTTCTGAGGATGTTCTGGATATATCAACTTGATGCCTCTGCTCCTTACCCTTTTTAACAAATGGGATAATAACTAAGAAATCTCCATCTTCAATCAAATAGTCACCAATCTTACCATGCGGCCCCAATTTTACTCCCTGTGACCAAAAATTGTCAACAATACAACAAACCCTCATATTTAAAAATACCTATACAAGCACAAGCACAATCTGGCCACAAATATATTACTGTTAACCTCAGGCTCATTTTAATCCACGAATAAGAACTTCAAATATATTAATTTATAATTTACTTGTACTTCGCCTTTTTAATGCAATGTTCTTTCCTTAGTTCTTTCTATTATTTTATATTCCTTTCAATTGTGGAGTTTTATTTCTACAAGGGATAATTTGATTGTAATTGATACAAATTCAAAATTTTATGCAGCAAAAGTTTGACACTCTTTGGAAACCAAAACCAACCATCAATTATTGGAGTTAAAGAATTCTGACAACAAAGACAAGACATGATAGCCAATTTCAGTATTTAATTGAGAGTATTCTACGGTCAATATAAATTTACAGCCAAACGATGGCTCCTTCAAGATCAATGGTCATATGCAACAGTCATCACATTGACAAAATACAACCACGATTATTTATTCTACAGACATTGTTCAAGAATCACTGCAAGCATTAGTGACACCTTATTCATATCAAATAGCATATTACAACCTTAAAATTTCCGATGTCTAGTATGGCGCCATTTTGTAGCTCTGGCCAAAAGATGGCTTATTTCAAGCCAACTAATGGTCATGTGCAACCATCGTCTTCCAGTTGAGGACCCAAAATATTCCACCTATACTAATAACCAAAAGAATGCAAACACCTGGAGCTATTCCCATGAGAATGTACATTGGTCGGTGCAAATGGTGTAGTCAAGACTAGGACTAACAAAGAGGGCATAAGGCCTCTGTTAACCTTCAAAAGAAACAAAAACAAACAGATGCTGTTCAAACTAGTACATATTTTTTTTCTTTTTCACCAAAGGTTAGTAAGTGTTCCAAAGAGACTCCTTAACGTTTCAAACAAGAAGAAATTCAAATGTATTAATTTCTCATTCCCTCAATTCCTCATTCTTAGCCTTTAATATGTTCTTCATTTCAGCAGTTAAGCCGATGGAAAAATCCAAATTTTGTATAGGGCAACGATTACAAAAGAACATCCCATAAAGATTCATCTCATTCAAACATAGAATCCCAAACATTAATTTCAAAATTACCCTGAGAAAAAGGTGAAAATTGGGGGAAGAATTAGCCGGATGGAAGCGTTGCTTGAGCAGGAGCTTGAGATCTTCGATGGTCTTGTTCGATTCAATGGACACACGGATTGAATCGCCCATCAAGCTACGGACTTCGATTTCCTTCACATTCCCTCGGCCGCCCATCTCTCCGGCGTACAGAAACTCCCTTCTTCCGCCGCCACCTCCCACTTCTGTTCTCCCACTTTGTATTTGGCGGGGTGGGCGGTTCTGATGAAAGTCACGTGCTTAGTGCCATCGCACGTGGTGCTCCTTGTATCACATTTAAGCACTGCGTACGTATTTGACGTTTCGATTATAATACTATTTGTTTAGTTTTTCGAATCATATTTTTTATTAATATTTTTTTTTGATAAAATATAATTAATAAATAATTAAAAAATATATTAGTAAAAATAATTATAAATTAAAATTAAAATAATTAAATAGTTTAATTAAAATTATAAAATTATAAAAATGAGATTAAAGTGTATAATTATATTTTAAAAAATAAAATGATAAATTATGTGAAATTAACGAAAATAAAAAATAGGAACAAATTATGTGAAACAAATAAAGTATATATTATGGCAGTTTCAAAACAATATGATATTTGGGATAGATACAAAAATTAAAAAATAATATATTATATTAATAGTCGATATAAAAATATTTTTGAAAAATCAAAATTCCCCTAAAGTAATTATTGTAAAAAAAGTGAACATAATTTTGTAAAATGATGGAAGGTTGATTACTTAAAAAAAATTATTATTATTTTTAAAGAGACAAGAATAATAAAATGAAATTATTATTTTTTATAAAAATAATAATTATTTTTTTTTTATAAATGATGCTCCAGCGCCACGTGGCCAATTTCGAAATGTGTAGGAAACTTTTAATTTTTAATTTTTTTTAATCATAATATTTTATATTTGGAATCGATTTTTTTATTTTGTGGCATCGGAAATTGGCCAAGCTACACACAGGCTCCGATTTTCATTGTGTCATGTGTAGTTAGTTAGGCAGATAAAACTAACAATTTGTTTGAATATATAATTATTGTTATGTATGAAATTTAGAATTAGGTTAAAAAGCCCAAGGTAAAAGAAAAATGGGTCTGACATTAGAGTTGGTTGAACTGGCTCAAGGAAAATAGGTTTATTTCTAAGGAAAGTCCTCAGGACGGAAAGACCTCAGGTCGGAAGGTCTTCAGGTCGGTAGGTCCTCAAGACGGAAAACCCTCAGGATGGAAGGTCTTCAGGTCGGTAGGTCCTCAAGACGGAAAGACCTCAGGTCGGAAGGTTTTCAGATCGGGAGGCCCTCAAGACGGAAAGTCCCCAGGACGGAAAGACCTCAGGTCGGAAGGTCTTCAGGTCGGGAGGTCCTCAAGACGGAAAGTCCTCAGGACGGAAAGACTTCAGGTCGGAAGGTCTTCAGGTCGGTAGGTCCTCAAGACGGAAAGTCATCAGGACGGGAAGTCCGCAGGTCGGGAGGCCCTCAGGTCGGGAACTCTGTGGCGGGACCAACAAGTCGGATGGTTTGTTAGTCGGGATGACTGTAGCTAATCCAAATAAGTCAGAAGGTTTGCAAGTCGGGAGGATTGGCAGTCGGACCAATGCGGTTGTAGATTGGCAGTCGGACCAAAAGGGCGGAAGGTCTGTGGTCGGCTCAAAGAGTGAAATATAGGGATAATTTTGGGTCTGCTGAGGACACGTGTCAGCAGGAGAAGGATTGGAAGACAGTTGGGAAGGAGACGTTGTAACCGTTCGGGCGACGGTTTTCAGTACAGTTTTCTTCAGAGAATATTTAAGGATTTGGATCATCATTTGGCAAGGCATCTTCAATCAACTTCAACAAAGCAAAGTCAGATTTGGGGATCACCACTTTAAATTTCAGTCTTTTATTTTCCAGTTTATTTTCTGTACCATACAGTGTTTAGAGATTCCTAATCTCAGGCACTAATTAATCAAGTTTAAGGATATTTTCTATATCTTTGAATTTTACTTTATTTTTGTTGAAAAATTACATCAACAAATTGGCGACCACAGTGGGAGCAAGACAAAATTGCTCATTCCAATTCCGGCGATAATTTCATACGTCTAAGATCCGGCCGAATCATCGGAAGGGTCCATATGGCAGGTTCACAACCACAATCATCTTCGGCACCGGCGGGAGAATCCGTTCCACCATCTATTGTGCCAAATGCCGGGGAAAATCCACAACCACCAACTGATTGGAGGTCTTATGTTCAACATATGAACAACCAGCAAACTTTGGTTATGCAGAACATGTTGCGTGAGCAACAGAATCTGATGCAGAACATGTTAGATCAAGCACTGTCAAGGGTTAGTCTTCAACCCACTCAAACTCCACCAGGAGTATCACCGTCCAGACTACAGACAAATTTCGCAGGGCCATCATTCGTGGATAATACATTCCCAAGTGCCACAAATCCCAACCGAATGGATGGGGGAAAATCTCCTCTGACTTTTCCCAACACTGTTCCACTGGGACCAAGGGTTACCAATCCGCAGCCGAACAATACAAGGGAGGACAGGCCTGAAGGATATATACATGATCCTATTCATATTCCTGTGCAGGATCCGTTCCATGTTCCTGATCATCAACGCTTTCATGTAGATCCTGATGAGATTGCACATATATTAAGGGATCAGTATGGGCTAACTCCTCAGATGGCTAACCGTCCTGCATATCAGAGACCTTTCCCAGAAAGGATCGTTAATGAACACCCCCTCCCAAGGAATTATCGACCACCCGATTTTCATGCATTCTCAGGGGAGGACGGATCTTCCACCATAGAACATGTTGGTCGGTTCACAGCACAATTGGGAGAAGTTGGTAATAACCCTTTTTATAAGTTGCAACTGTTTGGTCTATCTCTTACTAGAACAGCGTTTTCGTGGTTCGCAAGTTTACCTCCTGGGCAAATTCAGACGTGGGAAGGACTGGAGATGGCATTTCATGCCAGATTCTTCAATCCTTTACCAACTGTTTCTTTAACTGATTTACTAGAATTGAGACAGTATCCAAAAGAATCTGCTTCACAGTTTATAGAAAGGGTGCGATTGATGAAGGGGCGATGTCCTACAGTAATCAGTGAGAAAGAGATGACCAATTTAGTGGTCCGGAATATGCATACTCGCTTAAGAAAGGCACTCACTGCCCTGGATGTTGAGGATTTGGCAAGTCTTGCATCCAAGGCAGGACGTTTAGAGTCTTTGTTCAGAGAGGAAGATCAGCATAACAGGCGTAATAGAGGCCAACATATGGCGAGTATGGGAACAGAAACATGTGACTTTGATTTTAATCAGTCAGAAGAGATGGCAGCCGAAATCCTTTCTGGAAAACCTTATGTATGCCCTAAATTGAAGCCAGTACCAGGATCTGAAGGAAAGGAGCAACCGACGTTTGATAGTTCGAAAGCTGATGAAATCTTTGATATCCTACTGACTGATGGGCAGATCCGTATTCCAAAGGGGCAAAGACTGGCCACTAAAGAAGAAATCCAAGGGAGACCATATTGCAAGTGGCATAATTCTTTCACACATAATACAAGTCAGTGTACTCATTTCAGGAAGGAAATTCAAAAAGCCATCAAGACAGGTCGGCTCAAATACATCACTCTAGGTGTAGACCAGCAACCGTTTCCGAAAGTAACAACGGCAATGGTTGACATCCAACCAAGTTCGGAAACAAGGAAAAATTCGGCCAATAGTGGACAAACAGGGGAACGAACTCAGGCAAGCCCCGGAACAAAAAAGGGAAGTCAGCCAAACAGTGGCCGACTGGAAGAACGATTCAAAGTTTGTGAAAAGCCAGTCGCTGAAAAATGGGACCATCCAGACGGTTCTTTTAATGTGGAGGTGAAAGAAAAGGTTTTAGTGCGTGACCACCCGACCAGAAAAACAGGGTCAGTCGGGAACAATTGGGCTCGAAATAAAAAGCCTTTACCAGTTGATATAGATCCTCGTTTCCCAGGTATGAATCGTACACAGATTCGCAATGCCAAACGCAGGTATGCTGCAAAGTATGGGAAACGAGTTTCTTCAGCAAAACAACTAACCGACGAACAAAAAGCAGCCGACCACTTGGCAGGAGATCGGTCCATTAGAGTCTTTACAAAACAACTAACCGACGAGCAAAACGCAGCCGACTGCTTGGCAGGAGATCAGTCTATTCGGGTCTTTACAGAACAAACAACCAACGAGCAGGGAGCAGCCATGCAATCTCCAAAAAGTCGGTCCAGTCGGGTCTGTTCAAGAAAGCAAACGAACGACGGATTAGACGCTTCAGACTATACCAAAGGAAGTTCGTCGGGACAGGGGAAAGGTAAAGGAATATCAGATGAAATAATCAGAGGTTTTAGATGCCAACATTGTGAACGGATCAACATCAATCCATCTCTTGAAGAATTCCGTATAGAATCTTTGACGGTTCAATCTCGGAATAAGACAAAGGAAGAAGTTGTAACTACAGAGGAAAATTTGAGATCTGTTAAATCTCGTCTGGGACCACGAATCCCTTGTCGAATGACAGAGATTAATCAGATGAGAGATGAACCGATGTGGGCGAGTCTGGTAGATGATACTATGGACGAACCTTTATGGGCATTCTTGGCAGATGATGAATTAGAGGAAACAGAGTGGGCAAAGACTTCAGATTCCGAGCCTCAGTCGGAAACACCTTCGATAGTGTTTCCTCCTATTCCAGAGGGTGCGATCTCCCATTTGAAACCTCTGTATGTTAATGCTCATGTTTGCGGGAAACCAATCACAAAGGTTTTTGTGGATAATGGAGCAGTCTTTAATGTTATGCCATTGAAGACTCTCAAGAAGCTAGGGAAAGGAATTCATGATTTGTCTCCTGTGGAATTCGAAATGACAAGCTTTACAGGGCAGCCGACCAAGCCTGAAGGTATGATGGTTGCCACAATTGAAGTCGGACCAAAGAAGATCTCCACTGTTTTCTTTATTGTGGACGCAGATACTACATACTCTCTCTTGCTGGGAAGAGACTGGATTCATGCCTCTCAATGTGTGCCATCAACCCTGCACCAACAATTAATGTTCTGGGAAGGAAATCAGGTCTTCAAAATGGAAGCAAATGACAACCCATTCGATGTATCAGAACAAGTTGAAGAGTCAGTGTTTTATTCCAGTCATTTGGCTCCGATGTCTCAGTTGTATATGGCCAGGGAATACCCAAACAAGGGTTATAAAGTCACTGGCCA